CTGATGTGGTTAAAAAATCACATGATGATAATGTACTACAATCGAGCTCTAGATTAAATAATTCAGATTCCAATGAAGTACCACCAAGCATTACATTTAGACTTATAAATAGTTCTTCATCAGAATATGAATCTAGTAATATTGAAGAAGTTAAACCCTTGATCAAAAGAATTAATGAAATTATCAAACAAAGGAATTCAAATTTCCCACGACCTAGATTATTTCATCATAAATATATTCATAAAAGAAAAAACCCATTGTCAAAGGGTATCAAGAAAATTACAATCAATTACGATGTTCCTGTATATTTAAAGTTTGCAGATGATGAAATTGAACCCCATGAAACCTATGGGCCATCTCAGCATCGTTCGAGACGTTCTACAATTTTTGAGTCAGTTTTTGATGATAATGAAAGATCATATCCGCGAAAATTCCATGAAGCTTCTAAAATTGCGAATCCTAACGCTGGAACAGAAAAGTCATTTACTAAAATAGATTCAAAATTTATTGTTTATGGTTTTCCAGAATTGTTTGTAAGGCCTGAGAAAGGGACTTTGCCTGTTGATAAATCCAGAAAAATATCTAAAATTACAATTAATTATGGAGTTCCGGTTTATTTTAACCCATTTGTTGCTAGTTCTAAATCTCCAAAACTTTATTCAAATAATATTGCTTTCAATTTACCTGTAGCAAAAAAAGTTGAAGACAAACAAATTAGTAATTTCTTACCTGCAACAACAAAGCCTAAATCTCTTGTTGTATCAGATGCAAAAGAATCTACAACTGAAGATAATGATTCTTTTGGAGAAATCACAAATTATAGTTATTATTTGGGACCTAATCCTACTAACATTACCATAAGTCATGATTATTATAGTCAAAAACAAACTGGAAAACCCCAAAATGTATATGGTGTACCAAGAATTAAACGATCAAGCTCAATTTTCAATTCTGTTTTTAATAATAGTAATTTTAAGCCACTGCAACAAATATTTTTTGAAGTGGGAAAAGATTCTTTTCCAGTTCGTGAAGAAGCATATGAATTGCCTTCAAATGACGAAGAGCAAATTCTAAGAAACAAATTACCCGTTGAACAGAAAAATATTGGATTTAGTACATTAACTTCAAAAGTTGTTTTGCCAAAAATTGATGAGGCAAAACCTGGGGTGTTTGACCCTAACAAACCCATCAACTTTCATTCAAGTTTATCTTTGCCTAGCAAATCTTTCCATACAAAACCATTTACACATTTAAAAACTTCCAATGATAGTAGTATTATTAAAACAACTACAAAGAAGGTAAAAATTCCATCAAAAAACAACAATCGTTTACCTACTTTAGATTTCCCTAAGACTTTTAGTTATGATACTGAAAATTTATATAGAATATCTCTACCTTCCTCATACACAAGATATTTAAAAAATCTTGATTATCCAACAGAACCCCCACTAAAACAAACTTTTGAGCCAACCCTAGTTTCAACCTACTTTTTCATGCCTAATATCACAGTTTATCAACGCCTTCATTATTATTTTGCTCCCAAAATGAACCGTTCAGTATCATTTTCTAAGTCAACTCCAAGATCTAAACGTTCAGTTTTTGCTTCAGTTTTTAATAATGATGGTTCAAAGTCGCTTCAACAAAGGTTTTATGAAGGCATCCACAAAAATGTGCAAAACCATCAACATAAGTCTAATTATAAACATAGGCATAGAGTAGAAACGGCAAGATTGCAATATATTGTTCCATCTGTATCACATTATCCGTCAAGCAATGGAATGCTTTTGCCTAGAATCAGGTTAACTAAGTATTTTAATAGTAAACTTGGACAAAATTTAACTCAATTGCCTATTGATACCAAGACAAAATTATTTTCAACCAATTCGCCACATTTAATTAAAGTCAATTTTTCAAATTCACTAATTTTACCGCTTAGGAAAAAATATGAAAAACTTACTTTTGAACAAAAGTTACCTATTGCTAGGAAAAATAGATTTTTTGGTGAACTTCCAATAGTAAATAAATCAATACTATTCTCAACAAATTCTACAATATTTATTAAAAACAATTTGAATCCAATAGGAATTGTAAGATTGCAAGTTCCCAATTTCAAAAGTGCTTCATTTGCACAAAATGATACTCAAATTCCATCAAGAAATGAAATGTTTTTGCCTAAAATAAATGTTACTAATAAGTATACAAAACCTTTTGAACAAAAGTTGCCTAAAGATAAATCAAAATTATTTACCTTAAACTCTTCAGACATTATTACAAGCTGGATACCCAAACTTCAAATACCCAATACCAAAGGGAAAAATATGTTTTGGGTAAATAGAAATGTTACAAAGCATTTGAGTGTTCCTAATACTGTATCTTTAGGAAAAAAGTTTAAATTAGACTTAACAATTGCAAATATTTCCAAACCAGATTTTGTATTAATTGAACCTAAGTTGCCACAAGTTCTCCTGGATAATATAAATTATAATGCTCAGCTTGTTCCCTCAAAAAATAGTAAAACTAATTTCAGTTCTTCACCAAAGAATCAAAAAAATAATTATTTGAAAGCTCTTGAAGACAATATAAAATATAATGCTCAGTTTTCTATTGGAATTGGGTTTGATAGACATTTTGGTTTTCCAAATGGTTCAAAGAATCATAGACTTGATGAAAAGTTAGTTAATAATTTGAAAAACAATTCATTTGTTGCACCAAAAGTACCATTGAACCAATCTGTTGACTATTTGATTAAAACTTTACCAAAAGTAGAAGCAACGAAAAAATTTGGTAGCACTGTAGAGTTGGTTAAAAGTGTCAATTTGCCAGAAATATTGAAAAATAATTCATTTACCCAAGAAGAACCACATTTACCAAAAATACAGGCAACGAAACAATTTGGTAACACTTTAGAGTCAGCTAAAAATATCCCAGCAAGTGTTAATTTGCCTAAAATATTGAAAAATAATTCATTTACTCAAGAAATGCAAAATTTACCAAAAGTAGAAACGAAGAAAAAGTTTGGTAGTCCTTTAGAGTCGGTTAAAAGTTACTCAGGAAGTGGTAATTTGCCCAAAATAGTAAAAAACAATCAATTTTCCCAAGAAGAACCACATTTACCAAAAGTACAGGCAACAAAACAATTTGGTAACACTTTAGAGTCGGTTGAAAACATCCCAGCAAGTATTAATTTGCCTAAAATTTCAAAAAATAATTCATTTGCCCAAGAAGAACCACATTTACCAAAAGTAGAGGCAACGAAAACATTTGGTAGCACTGTAGAGTTGGTTAAAAGTATCTCAACAAGTGCCAATTTGCCTAAAATATTGAAAAATAATTTATTTAGCCAAGAAGAACCACATTTACCAAAAGTACAGGCAACAAAACAATTTGGTAACACTTTAGAGTCGGCTAAAAATATCCCAGCAAGTGTTAATTTGCCTAAAATATTGAAAAACAATTCATTTACTCAAGAAATACAAAATTTACCAAAAGTAGAGGCAAAGAAAAAGTTAGGTAGCACTTTAGAGTCGGTTAAAAATTTCCCAAGACGTGGCAATTTGCCCAAAATATTGAAAAACAATTCATTTACCCAAGAAGAACCACATTTACCAAAAATAAAGGCAACGAAACGATTTGGTAACACTTTAGAGTCAGTTAAAAACATCCCAGCAAGTGTTAATTTGCCTAATATATTGAAAAATGATTCATTTACTAAAGAAATACAAAATTTACCAAATGTAAAGGCAAAGAAAAAGTTTGGTAGCACTTTAGAGTCAGTTAAAAATGTCTCAGGAAGTGTTGATTTGCCTAAAATATTAACAAACATCACATTTACTCAAGAAATACAATATTTACCAGAAGTAGGTGCAACGAACACATTTAAAAATACCTCAATTGTCGAAATACTTCCTGATTTACCTAGAGAAGTTTCAGTAAAGAACTTTACCCAGAATTCACAATTAATTAACAATTTGCCAGAGGTAAAATTGTCCAATCTACCAAAAGCACTTGAAGAAAACATAAAATATAATTCACAATTTATTCCCACAAAAACCAATAATAATCCTGAAATCCCTCCTACAGAAAATGTCTTAAAAATTCGGAAATTTAAATCTGAACATTCTCCATTACCCACAGAAAACCCTATCAATGGAAATAATACAAATGCAAAAATTCCATCGGTAATACAATTTGAAATGCCCAAAATCCCAAAAGGTTACATGTTCAAAGAAAACGCAATGCTTAGGCAAAAAGTAAGCATTATTCGTCAAAATAAGACACTTGTTCCTGTTTTCAATGAGACTTTAAAAGAAAATGTTGTTTATAATGCTCAATTTGTTAATCAACAAAATGTTTCCCGTAAAACCCCTGAAGCAACAATAATTATTAAAGAAAATGTTACTAAACACATAAATAATAATTCAAATAAAACTGATGAACCAACAACTACTGAGAAATATGAAAACCCAGAAGAAAATTCTATTGAACCGAATCAACCTGTAAAACATTATCGTAAACGTAAACGTCCTGCTAATATTGTAGCACAAAAAATTAAAGAATCTTCTAAAATTACCAATAAAAATATCAATCGAGCTGATATTCCTATTGAAGAAGAAAATAGTCCAATTAAAAATCCTTTATATGTTGGCAATAGAGCCAACTATCCTTTAGTCAATAGAGGCACCATTAGAGCCAATAATACAAGAGTAAATATTAGAAAAAACTCAACTAATTTGTATAACCTGAATAGTGCTAAAAGTAGGTTTATTGTTAAAAATAGGACTTTGAGAAATAATACTGAAGATGCTTTGGATAATGATGTTATAAATGAAAAAAAGAAGTTAGTTAGGATTATTAAAAGACCAATTCGAAAAAATATCGTAGTGGAAAATGCCTAATAAATTATATTTTTTGACTTTTATCACTGTAAATTAACTTTGTCTTTTGTACGTATTTATTTGAAAATTGTATTAGATTTACTGTCAACCAAAATTATTGAAATATTGTCCCAAAAACTGTAAAACTTTAATTACATAATATTATACATTACATATTTATTTATTGTTTTTGTGTATGTATTTATATATTTTTTTTTGTAATTGAACTTTGTAGTTGCAAAATGTTTTTTTCTTTCTTTCAATTTTTCTGGAAATAAATATCTTGATTGGCAGCTATTGGTAAGTGTATTTATTGATTTTCTAATAACATTTTTTCAGCTTGACTATTTTGAACTAACACTATAAATGAGGGCGTTCCACCTTTGATAACAAAACTGAAAAATTACAAAATTAACACCTACACCGATTTCAATTACAATTAATAAATAACTTACCCAGGTTTTTTCAAAACATCTCTCAAACTCTCATTAAAATCAACTTTAACAAATTTTTTCTTTTGGTTTTCAAAATAGACGTTCAAATTTTCGAGTTTGTATTTATTTTGCACATCCCATTCAGGTGATGTTTCAAAAACTGCCGATAAGTGATCAAGAATACTGGAAATTACAATATTAAACCAAAGAAAAAACAATAAATTTTCATACATACATGTCTTGTTCATTAAACTGCTGAATATAATCCATAATTTTATATTCAGGATAAACTAAAGCTACCGGCCAAATTAAACAGTTTGTTTCATTATCTATGTTTACTCTATTATGTACTAGTTCTGGAAAACAGGGTTCTAATTTACTTAAACTTATTTCTCCTCCTTCTATTTTATAGCCCCTTTTGGCTATTTCTTGTATCAAGTTATTTTCAAATTGTTTCTTTTTTTTGTCCTCTATTTCTCTTTTTCTCTCATTGCGTATTTGCAATTTTGCTTCGTTGACGCACTTTTTTCTTAAGTCAAGTATCTCCTTATTGGTTTTATTTTTTTCCAATATTTTGTCGCAATATTCGATTGATTTTTCGTAATTTTTAGTGTGATAACAGCAAAAAGCAGCTCGGTTTAAAACTTTTTCGTAGTCTGGGTTTAGTTTTAAAGCTAATTCACAGTCTTTTAAACAAGATCTAGGAATTATTTATTTAGTAAATTAGCTTATACCTACCAAATTTTCTACCTGTAATTTTTCAAAAACCAATGCGCCGCTGCTCGATTATTCAACAAGCTTGATTCAATTTCTGCAACTCCACATTTTTGTTTAATTCCTTCTGTGTAAGCGACAATAGCTAATCTGTAATTTTTGTGTTTGAAATTAAAATTTCCATCCTCCTTATATGATATAGCTAATTCTAAAAGAAATTGCTGTATTGAGAATATTACATTTAGTCATTTCAATCAAACCTTCAGGCTCATTTTCTTCTGGATCATATTTTAATTTTTGTAAGCCTTCATATAGGGGGTGAAGTTCGTCTCCAGGTTTGGGTGCTTCCTTCATGAAAAATGGATGCTTGGCCATTTCCTTAAAGAAAACTTATTCATAAAAAATGCTACAATGTTTTATGAAATCCATAGTGTGACAGAATTTATTTCAATTAAAGACAAAGCTGGGAAAGTTGAGAAAAGTTTGCTGAATTATTTAGACAATTCGAGAAGCGACGACGCGCTATCAAACGGAGTCGTCCACCAAAGAAAAGTCACTGATAAATCAGCCTGATTGTATTGAGAATCAAATGGTAAATTGAACGTGCATAAGTTATTCGTTGTAAGGTCAAAATTAGTGAAACGAGAGTCAATAGTAAGACAGTGAGTTGTGATTAAGATTTAGCTAACTAGGCTTGATTTTCAAATTAATTGCTGTAAGAGTGTGCCGTAAAGTGACACTTTCCGCACTAGTTAAATATACTATTTCCGTACCTCTTCCCATCGATCTTCTGGCCATCCATCCTCATATTTGGTTCTAGGCAAATTATTGATAAACTCGTCCAATTCTGCATCCAGTTTTGCAGCCAATTCGAGCCTCTCTTGGTCTGTCATGGGTTTTTTGGGTTCTGAGGGGGTGTTTTGATCCATAATTGAATTATTTTTTGCTTTTGTAGCGACGAAAACCAAAGGAAATTCAAATAAAATGGAAAAATATAGAAAACATGCAGGAAAATTTTCAAAACATGCTAACCCTAACCTCAAAAAATTTGGTTGATGGTTCGGTGGTCGGTTGTGGGTTGTGGTCATTGGTTGTGGTAGGTTGCGAAATTGGTTGCGAATGTTGAACTACCGGGGCCTGTTCAATGCACCTCTAGGAACCATACCAAGAACACGAGCTGCTAGAGTACCTAGAGCCAGTGCAGTTTAGTGCAGTGCAATCGGTGCAAAACAAAGTTCTTTCAACCGTGCGTTTGGTATTTGGATCTGAAGTCTCCGAGCTTAAGTTTAGCGTTCGTTTATTTGAAAAGTGTGCTAAGTATAGGCCAATGAAATAGGCTGATTCACCATGTTCGTTTATTCAAATTTCGTGCGCTCTGACACAGCGTTTAATTGCTCTGTGCGCTCGCTGATCACGTGATTACGGTTCCGCTTCAGCACGCACTGCTCTTTGAGGGGTTTGAGCGAAATATCGAATTAATCCTCGATTAATCCTTTGTAGAGTACAGTAGAAATTTTCATTTTTATCTGTTAGATCTGCTCCGTCCCTTCAAGCATTCAGCAACAGCTAACACTAAGAGGCGACATTCCTTAAGTTAAGCAAGATTCTTGGTTTCTCCGCAAGGTTATTTGAGAGAGGTAGGTTGCCTGATAACTTCATGACGTCATCTGGGGTGCCTCAATATATTGCAAATCTCCATAAGGCGTCCCAGATGCGTCATCAAGTTACCCATTACCAGAAAACCTAAGACGTCTTTTTCTGTTGAACCGTGTTTTAAAACGTTTCAAAACTGGTTCGATTACTACGTCATCATATCGGTGATGATCAAAAATACCCCGTTTTAAAACGGAGCTCGTGACATCTCTAAAATTATTGTTTTGTGTACATCGGTATTCTGAAGTTAGCGGTCTCTGTTTAACGTCTATTTTGAAACAAGCTGAAAGAGCGGTTCGAAACTGGTTGAACCGTTTCCCTATATGACGTAGCCGTTGCAACACCAAAATGTAGCGTTTTAAAACGTTTCAAAACATTTCAACACATTCTGTCAAAAAAAAGACGTCTCTATTAACTTTAGGAACATTGGTTTTTCCGCTTCCCGTTCCGGAACCAAACCACTCTTGAAAGCTGGCCTACGTTCCGATATCAACTGTCAGTACTGAATTTACTGGTCGCCGTTCCGATATCTTCCGACGCGTTCCACACGTAACCGTATTTTCAGGAACATTTTCTCTGAACCAGACTGTCACCATAGACAAACCGCTTCATACCGATCGGTAACTCTGGTTAAGATACGGAACGCTGCCTTATTACCTCATTCCTAGTTGCGTGAAACCTCAATGCGCGAAACTCTCTTTTTTGTAGAGATGTTATGGAATAGCTTTTTCTTGTACCTAGTATGACCTGTACCTGCTCCGAACACAAACTTATTCCAAGTACCTGTTCCAGCTCCAAAGTATTTCCTGAGAAACTCAGTGATTCACATGGTCGCCGACAGGTGGCTAGCGCTATTATTAGAGGTTAGAACGTCAATAAACGTGTCTTTTTTAAATCGAACACCGATTGATGATTCGAATGCTGGCAAGTGGCAATCCAGTGTAGTAGATTCTACTATTTCATTGAATTAATATACTAGAGGTGTTTTCTGGCGTCTCAAAGTTTTGAAACATTTTTCAAAACTTGTTTAAAACAGTTTCACAATGACGTCATAATTTCTCGGCGCAAGAAAATAGCTTTGAAACGTAGATTGGATTGTATTTCGAAACGGTTTGAACCAATTTTGATGTGACGTCATAGGTTCATCGCGAGAAAACAGCTTTGGTTTAGAGCAAACACGTGACATGCCAGCGCCTGCTCTGCGAACTCGGAACAGGTAGATTTAATATTTGTTAATAGGTACACGGAACAGGCAGGTCATACCTATTCCAAAAGAACAGATCCAGTTTCAGCGTAACATCCCTACTTTTTTGACAACCAAATTTTCGCGACGAATGTAGTTCATCAATAGTTCATAAGGACGAACCATAGTTCGTCTTGTGACGAGTTTGAACGCTGGCTAGAAGCTGCATCCATGCTTCCGGCGAACTCCGTTGAATATGACGTCATGAGTTTCTCGCGAAAGCGTTTGTGTTCATGAATTCATGGAAGTAGTTCGTCGTTTGACGTTTGATATACGCATAAAACGTCAAATTGTCGAAGCAATGTCCAAAAAGAGCGAATTTCGCGCAACTGAGAATGAGGCATGAGACGTCGTGCTCTTTTCACTCCGGAGACTTGCATTTTTTAAGAATCAATTCCAAACGGATAGTTCCAGAACTTGTGACTTTTCAAAATTACTCGGCTCTGGATCTAGTGTAGACTGTAGAGTCAAGGATAATACACACAACTACACAGGTTTGCTTATCGGCCTCGTTTTTGGGAATCTCGGGTATATTGTGTAGCACCATTGGCGACATCATTAACTAAGTCGTCAGCTGTTTGCGCTGGCGGTCGTAGTTTTATACTTGATGAAATTTTGAAAAAGCGTTGTTTTATGGCTGTTTGCACCCAATGATAATACACACTACTAAGGCCTCGTTTTTGATAGTCGCCGCCATATTGATGGGTCACCATTTCCGACGTCATTAACCAGTCGTCAGCTGTTTGCACTAGAAATCGTACCTAGTTTAGAATTTAAATTTATGATGAAGAATATTATAATTTAATAATTTTTATGAGGATAAGCTATCCTGTAGTTGTAGTGTGTATTATCCTTGGTGTAGAGTAGCATACCTTTTCCAGGGAAACGGGTTTCAACGGCTTTATTTATGATTTGGTTTGGAATCAAGACACCTTAAACTAAATAGGTATATGGCATTGTGAACTGCATTGAGCTGAAAGTGTCTGCCATGTCCAGTCAACTTCTCCCAACTATGTGTGACGTCAGCCGCAGTCCTGAACTTTTGACGTAAAATGCAAATCACCTTTTCTATATTTAAAATCAAGGAAAAAAAACTCACAAGCCCAGCCTGGATCGGCAAACAATCCATCGAGGTCTGCGGCTGACGTCACCACTATCGGCTGCTGTTAGTAGTAACGTCACCCGAAGACCTACTCCGACTCAAGAACTGGCGAACATATGCCTAAAGCCTATGCAGTTCTTGCGGGACTGGAAATCGCAGTTTTTTTGATACTATGCAGTAAAGTGCAATTTCTGTACGCTCATAGATAACTCTATCTGAAATTTGTCCTAGAAATCTACAAATTTAGGATGCCTGCTGCAAACTACACAGCTTTCAAATGCGATCTATTACTAAAGCATTTGCTCGAGTAATCTTTATCCTTTATTCTTCACTGAGTTTAGTATCTACAGCTCAGGAATTTAATGTGGGACAATAATTATTTTAGGGCGTTGTCTGTGTGTGTGTGTGTGAGAGAGATTGATTAAAAAATAAAACAAATACAAATTTTTAAATCTATTTTTTAATAATTAAAAGTATGTAAATACAACAAATAATACACTCCACAGTAGGTATTATAGTGGAATGGAACAAAAAATAAAAAAGAAAATCTTATTTTGAAAATACAAAGTCTATCTAGGCGCCACGATTTTTAGTTTACATTTCTTTGCATACAATATGATGAAATTTTTCTATATATTATCAAAATTGAACAAATAAATTAAAATTTATTACATTAAGCGCTTTCAGCTAATTTCTCAGCCTTTTGCACGACTTCTTCAATGGGACCAACCATGTAGAATGCAACTTCTGGGAGATGATCGTAGTCACCTGCCAAGATCTTTTGGAATCCCTGAAAAAAATATACAATTTTAAGTTGAGATTGAAAAAAATTCTGAATACTAATACAATCAAAAAATATAATTTTGATTGTACAAATTCCCAAAAGTAGCCAAATTTATCATAAGACCATAAAAATTCAAGAATTCCTCTTTAATGTCCCACAATTCTGACACCCAAATGGAAACGAAAACTTCCAATTGAGCTCTAATAATGTGGAGTCAAAATCACAAATTCAGAATCAAACTTACCTTGATGGTTTCTTCAAGTGGGACAAGTTTACCGGCATGGCCAGTGAAAACTTCAGCAACCTGGAAAGGTTGCGACAGGAAACGTTGGATTTTACGGGCACGGGCTACAGTCAATTTGTCGTCTTCAGACAATTCATCCATACCCAAGATAGCAATAATATCCTACAGAACAAAAAAAAAACAACATTTTATTTTGTTCTACTGTATACAATTATAATTTTTGTTTGTACCAATCCTCAAAAATGGCCAGAATTCTAAACATCAGGCCACATTTATTTAAGAATTGCTCTTTAATATGCCACAATTTCGACACCCAATTAAACAAAAATAATTCAACTGGGCTCTAATATGTGGAAAAACTAATCAATATTCATGCTTACCTGCAACGATTTGTAATCTTGTAAGATCTTCTGTACACCACGAGCAATGTTGTAATGCTCCTGACCAATAATGTTGGGGTCCATGATACGAGAGGTGGAATCCAGAGGATCTACAGCTGGGTAGATACCCAATTCAGCGATGGCACGGGACAATACCGTGGTGGCGTCCAAGTGAGCGAATGTTGTAGCTGGGGCAGGATCAGTCAAATCATCAGCTGGTACGTAAATAGCCTAGAAATATTTTATTTGTTGCAATTTTATAAATATCCCTAGCACAAATTCTTACCTGTACTGATGTAATTGAACCCTTTTTAGTAGTGGTAATTCTTTCCTGCATACTACCCATGTCAGTGGCCAAAGTGGGTTGGTAACCTACAGCAGAAGGGATACGACCCAACAAGGCAGATACTTCTGAACCGGCTTGAGTGAATCTGAAAATGTTGTCGATGAAAAGCAATACGTCCTGTCCTTCTTGGTCACGGAAATATTCGGCTACAGTTAATCCGGTCAAAGCAACACGGGCACGGGCGCCTGGAGGTTCGTTCATTTGACCATACACAAGGGCTACCTTGGAGGTTTTGTCTTTTAGGGAAATGACACCGGATTCAATCATTTCGTGGTATAAATCGTTACCTATTAAATGAAATGAATGAAAATTATTGTATTAAATTTTTTTGGGAAAAATCATACCTTCACGGGTACGTTCACCTACTCCAGCAAATACAGAGTAACCACCATGAGCCTTAGCTACGTTGTTAATAAGTTCCATAATTAATACAGTTTTTCCTACACCGGCACCACCAAAAAGACCAATTTTACCTCCCTTGGCGTAAGGAGCAAGAAGATCTACTACCTGTTTTAATCAAAAAAAATTCAGGTGAAACTTTTATTAAAAACAATCATGGTATTGTTTGTCACAAAGAAAACCCAATTTTCCATATAAAAGAAGATCAGAAGCTAATTTGAAACAATTCAATTTTGCAAAACAAATTTAATTGAAAAACTATTTAAGTAGTTATTCAACCCTGAAGTTTGCTTTAAATGTTGGGCCGGTAACGATTTGTTTCTCTTACCTTAATACCAGTTACCAAGATTTCTTGTTCTACACTCATGTCAACGAACTCTGGGGCTTCAGCGTGGATAGCGGCAAGTTTGTCAGTTGGAATGGGACCCCTTTCGTCGATGGGTTCACCGATTACGTTCATGATACGTCCCAAGGTTTCAACACCTAATAATTGTGAAAAGATTTAGCTTTACTTGTCATTCCTATTCAATTTGCAATTTACATAACCAAGAAATTCTTTTTTCTGTACAGAATATTAGTTCATACAATGAGCAGCAAGATAAGTCTTAACAATGATAAAAATGAGGTAGTTGAAGAACAATCTTTGAATATTAGCTATAAGATCTGTTTGATAATAATGATGTTGAATTTAAGTCCAGTAAGTAGTAGGCTCAAATCAATACTTAATGAAACATTGGAATGAATGTAGATTTTAGTGTTGTGATAACTTCCAATTCATTTCGGCACTCAATGAATAAAACAATATAATCCTGATTCCTGATTCAAATATTACTCTTCCCAAAATCATAGTATTTTGCACCTAGATGGAATTTTCATTACTTACCAACTGGGATACGGATGGGGTAACCAGTATCAAGGACATTGTTGCCTCTAACAAGACCTTCAGTACCATCCATAGCAATGGTACGTACGGTGTTTTCTCCCAAGTGCTGGGCGACCTGTAATAGAAAGAAAAATGTGTTTTTAAAAATAAAATTAAACCAAATATCGCTTATATTACATTGAAGCAAATATATTGTATGTTACAAACATTAACCCAATTTTTAATTAAATATAAAACTAGAATTGATTTGTAACAAATTAATCTGGCAAGGCAAATTTAATTGGAATACTATTTAAGTAGTGAGCCAACCCTGAAGCTTGCATATGGCAAAATAAAGTGATAATAATTCTAATAAAAATCACATCAACCAATTGAAGTATAAAGTTCCTATATTCAGAAAATAGGTACCTCAACATTAAGTTGAATATAAAAGAGGATTTGCTTACCTCAAGTACCAGCCTGGGTGTACGGTTGGACACTTCCAAAGCATTGAGAATTGGGGGTAAGTTGTCTTCGAATTGTACATCTACAACAGCACCGATGACGGCAACTACTTTTCCTTTGGCTTGACCAGCTGCAGCTTTAGCAGCTAAACTCCTGTCTATATTTAAACAAATTTATAAATTAGCTAAAATGTCTCAAAGTTTTTTATCAATGATTACGCTAATGCTACTTTGTCTAATAAATTAGATGAAAACTGAGCAGTATATAAGCCTAATAATTAATAAATTAATACATTTTCCAGTTTACATAAGTTCAAAATGGCGAGGGTCAGGTCGGTTATGTAACCAACATTTTCCAACCAAATTTTACCAAAAATACCAATTAATATACCATTAAATGATCCCCAAACAAAGCTCAATGCAACAAAATTGAAGAAAACCCTATAAAAATAAGAAAAACTCCACCAATTTACGTAATAGAACGTGACTTTGACCCTTATGAAACCGGACCAGCTTCAGCCCGAGAAAAATTGCACATTATCGCAAGATTTTGGAAAACTACGTTACTCACTTTGTTGGTTGTAGCATGCTGTTGCTTTTAAGGTTTCTTGTCCAACTTTTTCTACGGTTTTACCAGCCAAAAGGCTGGCGGTTCTTCCTACGGCACCCAACATGATCACCCACAGACAGAAGTAAAACGAAATTCACAGATATTCCGCTAGGGATTGCCACCTACTTCCTGTTGCGCATGTGCCGGGACTTTAAATGGATAATATGGCTCCAATTTTGAATGGTTATGCAATAACTTTGTGATTTTTTAAATTATTGTGATCAAGGATACATTTTGTAGTGTGTGAAATCATTCAAATAATATTCTAAGATTATTGGAAGGATAGTGTCACTGTGGTGTCACTAGAAGAACTTAATATTTTTTGTAATTGATACTACAATATATCTGTCTCTCTCTACTTCGTTTTTTCTTTAAGCATTGAAATGCGTTCATAAATGAAGTGATAGTAATGACGTCACAGATTTACCGTGTGACCCACAAAAAATCGCCAGCTGGTCTGCGGCTGATGTCAGCACCATCAGCAGGGTTGTGTTTAGAAATAGCACTCTGGGTGTGAGAGTGACCCTAGAGTAACTCTAAACCGTTCGTAAATTAACTGGTGCTTACTCACCCCTCGTTTTTATTCTAATCGGTGAATTCACCGATGAGTTAGCTATCTTTGTTCAGTGAATGGAAAATGATGATGACCGACATAGAATGATGGATCCACCGGTAAAATTTGATGAGAATAAAAACGCAGGGTTAGTTTGGAAATGTTCACTAATCGAGAGTTGACGTGCCCAGAGTGCGTCCAAATTACCCCACTCAGGGACTGGGTTGAAAAACGCCCCTTGGGTTTTACGTCATTGGGTTTTCCGAAATCAGTGGGTTTTACCCTTAGAGCAGGTAAAGCGCTGTCCTACGGACATAAGGAGTAGGACCGCGCCATATTCTGCTTATGAAACTAAAGTGAAGCTAAGTGTTTGGCACCAAAATACAGGTAGAGCATTGAATTGTCATAACCGCCATTTTTTGTGGGCCAAAATACCTGGAAAAAAACGGCTTCATTTTCCAAATCCAGGTTACTACTCCTTTACCTTTACCTGCTCTAAGATTTTACCTGATTTGACGTGATTTTAAGGTTATTTTCATTATGATTATTCCTTTGGATTATTCCGACAAGATTATTCTTTAATGATTGTGACGGAGTTCTCTAGATGGAATCGAGAAATATGGATATCAACAATGATGACTTTGCCGTTGTGTTGAAGAATAACGAACCCCTTGTTGCGAATCGGCTTTTTTTTCTTGAATTATAGGTTGACCCTCTTTCTACACTGATTCAACAATAGGATCAATTTTTCTTCACTATCTGGAGCATTTTATTCAGATGAAGGATGTTCCAGCAGGACCTCTTTTGATAAGAACATAATGCATGCATTTCTCACTGCCTTTTTTAAAATTGTAGTGTTGATTGAAGGGTTGACTGTGTTGAACTTGCGTCGTAATTCATGACGACATTTACCGCTACGCCCCAATCAATACGTTCAGAAATAGCGCACCCAGAGTGCACTCCAAGTGATGACGTCAAAATAGTCTGACGAACAACTACTCTCCCTTTACTCTCCATTTCTAAACGCACTCCAGCAATAGTGATGACGTTAACTGCAGACCTCGACGATTCAGACTGTAAAAATGGTGATTTCAACGTTAAAGAATTCATTTTTGTGATCAATGTTTTGAACTCGGATAATTCATTTAACGTCAAAAGTTTGAGGTCTGCGGCTGCCGTTACTAGTAGTGGGCATTTATCGTGTGAACATGAGAACGTGAACGTGACAATCAGCTCAATAAGCAGTCCTATTAGAAGTGTTTTTGACCGCTACCCACAGTTTTTGCTATTTTCCGTTATTTCCACTCACAAGCTTTTTGAACCAACCACAAACCGACACTCCAGTACAAGTTAAAGGAAAGAAATAAATAAATCTTTCTATAGATCGAATATCTTGCTGTGATACCTGTAAGCGCTTTCCACTTTTGCCTCAAACCTGCACCCGAAAAAGCGATCCGAAACGGATCCACATGTGCGGCTTATTAAAACGGAGCGTTGCTCTCGGCAAGATTTACGTGGTTGTCTTGAGCAATTTTATAGAACATTTTAGCTCAAATCTCGCAGGAAGCGCCCTTTCTTGCTCCGTCAAATTCGATGGATCATAGAGTTTGATCAAAACAATAAAGTATGTTCGGCTATTTGACTTCAAATGGTGTGCCCTCGGATTGTAATCGCTGTTGAAGCACTCCCTCAGAGATCTGTGGTGTCACCGCTAGACGGGAAGCGTTCTGGGAGCAGTAAAGCCGAAAATTAGTCAGAACACTTAAACTGTAGTGTACTGAACCGAATAATTCGAACAACCGACCACGCTGTACTTTTGTGTTAAGCCAGCGAATTGCGATGGCATCATGGCAAGCAGGGCGCTCACACGACATGACAATTTACAAGAACGCGAGCGCGAACATTTGGCTAAACCTTGACAAATGACTAGAGCACAGTGGTGTGGCACTCAATAGTTGTATTCCTTTCAAGGGTTTGAAACACTCGAGCTACTCGCTGCAGTGTTTAGTCGCCCCCGATTTGCAGGGAACAGATGCGTGGTGCAACAAACACTTTTCGAAAGGAATAAAGCCTACTTTTCATGCATCCGTTTATCCGTCAATCCGTTTATCCGAAAGTATTCCTATTGGCCCAATATTTTGGCGCCAGAATCCGGAAGTATTCCTATTGATCCAATATTCTGGCGCCAAAATATTGGGCCAATAGGAATATTTTCGGATCAACGGATTGACGGAAAAACGGATGCATGAAAAGTAACCCTAAGCGCGTGAAACCCCGGAGCTGTTCCGGAGCTCCTCCTAGGTGTGAAAGGAATACAACTAATATGAGGTGGGTTCGGCTTGCACACTCCGTGCACTCGGAGTGACTCCATTCGCACTCCAGCCGTTCGGGTATTGCTTTTTACCGTATAAGGGGTGACTCCATTAGCTCTATTCACTCCACTCCAACTCCGCGCTGAATAGCCGAACCCAGCTATGGATAGCGGTCGTCTGGAAAATTTCGTTGTTGCTCCAACACAATTATGTCATTTACTCATTTGTCCACTCCATTTCAATTTTTAAAGATAAAACAAACAAAACCTCTGTACTACGCTTCTGCTAGTCGAAAACTAAATGAAATAGTCGCAGTAAAAGCCAATTATTTGTGCATTTCGTTTGAGCGCCTCTACAAGTATAGACAAGTATGAACTTGGCAAGTCTACGAATAATCGTGATCCCTTTGACTCGGGACATTTTTACCGACAAGAAATGGAAAACCAACGAGTGACAAATATTTGTATAAGTAACCCACTCACACGACATGGCAAGTATACGCAAGTAACGATTATTCGCCAAGTACACGAGTCGTTTGAGCCCGGCTTTATGCTTATTCAAAAAGGATGAATGAAGCAGGTGCTCGATTTGTTGAAGCTTACGTGTACGAGAAAAGAGAGCAAAATGAAAAAACAGGCAAAAGACAGCGACCAGATAAATACAGAAAGGGAAATGAAAAGAACAGAAACCCGGAATTGTTCCAGAACATTTGACAAGAAGTCGAAAACGCAAGAGAAACTGCGAACTGACCGCCCAAAAAGGCCAAAAAGGAACGGTCAAAGACGAAATATACAAACAGTTTTTATCCCTTCGGATCAAAAAGAGTTAAAGGAGCAAAAAAAAATTAAATCTTGGCTTGAAACGTATCTCTAATCTCTCTCACTAGTCGCACTATGCTGAATGTTTCTCTCTCTCGCTTGGCTGTACTCGACACGAGCACTGTACTCGAATGCGCGTTACCTATTCGGGCGTGACGGCAATCTCACAATCTCATTCACTGCCCAGAAGAAAATGTGCTAAACTCGCCTAAAGAAGTTTTCACTTCACGATTGTTTGGAATCGATCCGTTCAAATTCGGAGCAAAGCGAGTTTATTACGGCTGTTCGAATATTACATTTCGGAGCAACCAGTGCTGGGCTAATGTTCTGATTTACTTCACAGACCGTTTTATTGTTCAAAATTAACTCCTTCTGCTCTGAGTTCGCCTGACTAAAAATCTTTCCTGCAAAAATTTACATCCATATTTGGAGCGTAGCCTATAAACTATAAACGCTAGGGTACACTTCTGATGCGATCGAGTATGCTTTTTGAGCTGAAAGAGTAACTTCCAGAGCCAGAGCATGATAATTCTCCAGAGCCGAGTCTGAGAGCGGGTCCTCACTGGCTCCTGACTCGCAATTTTTAAGCAGCACTCTTTTTAGTGGGTGCATTTGAATCTTGGAGCAATTCGTACAGAGGAACGAATTACTCTGGAACTCGTGACTCTTAAAAGAAACGCAGCTCTGAAGTGACTTTTCAATGAAGATTAAATTGGGCGGTGCATTGGGTATGTTCAGCTAGGCCTGCAAAACTGTTTTCCAACTGTACCAGCTCAGTAGCTCAAGATTCAAGAACAAGTTTAATATACAGGGTGTCCGGAAAGTCAACGATAATACTGAAAGGGCTGATGGAGCAACTCATTAGCATCCAGAAAAACATAATATGACCTCAGTAAAAAATCGATGGTTTCCGAGATATTGTCACTTTAATAAAATTCGTTAAAATCGTCCTCTTGGATCAGATTTTCGAGTGTCACCTTGAAATTTTCATTATTCTCAGATTCTGAATTCTGTTTTGTAATGGTGAATAGATATTTCATTTGTCATAGACCAACACTAAAAGTCAAAGCTCAAAACATTTAATAAAAAATCTTTTCAAAGTGGCGTATGGCTTATTTTTATTTTCCATCACTCAAGTTTAAACGTTTCGAACTTTAACTTTTGATGTTGGTCTATGACAAATGAAATGTCTATTCACCATTGCAAAACTGAATTCAGAATCAAAGAATAATGGAAATTTCAAAGTGACACTCGAAAATCTGATACAAGAGGACGATTTTAACGACATTTTTTAAAGTAACAATATCTCGGAAACCGTCGATTTTTTACAAAGGTCATAGTATGTTTTTCTGGATGCTAATGAGTTGCTCCATCATCCCCTTCAGTATTATCGTTGACTTACCGGACACCCTGTATAAAAATATGAAAAACCATAGGTCAAAAAACGAATTCCTAAAAATTAACTCACAAGCACAGCCTGATTCGAGAGCAATCCATCGAGGTTTGCAGACGTTCACAACTATATCGGCTGCTGAAAGGGCCGGTTTCTCAATACTCGACCCCGATTTTAAAGGGAGAGATGCGGTTGCAACAAACACTTTTCGAATGGAATAAATGCGTAACGCCCCGGAGCTGTTCCGGAGCTCCTCCTAGCCTTGTGTTCGGTATTTTGATCTGAATTCACCGAACTTGAATTTACCGTTCGTTTATTTAAAAAGTGTACTCGGTGCAGGCTCATTCACGTTCGATTATTAAAATTTCTGGTACTCTGATACAGCGTTTAACTGCTCTGTTCGCTCGCTGGTCACGTGATTTCAGCTCCGCTCAACACGCTCTGCTCTTTAAGCAAACTACCGAACGCAGGGTAGGTGTGAAAGAACTACAGCTATTAGCGAGTCACCTCCGGGTTGGATTAAACTCCAGGGTAAGCTTCCCCAGTTCCTATGTTTACCCTGGAGTTATGCTTAACCCGGGGGTGACTTGCTATTGAGAAACCGGCCCAAGTTCAATAGCTGCTGATAGTGGTGAAGACGTCACCCGCAGACCTGAGCCGTTTTCCACTGACGAATTTTAAGATGCTCCACACCCGCAGCTTCACACTCTGGTGCTCCAAGCAACTGTTGTTTCACTGAAACGCACCCTACTTTAAGCGTCGTGTTTGACGCACCCATAAAATCCAGGGTGCTTGAGAGGAAAAACGAACAGTAACACTGGAACGCCTATAAACAGCCCGGAGTGCTCTTGATCGCAAGATATTTCAGGTTTGTGGCGTCACCAGTTCAACTGATAACTGCAGAACAAGTTGATTTGTGCCAGATTTGGACAATTATGGATTCTTTTTAATGGATGAAAACGTCGAAATTGAATTTGTTTTATCAAGTGATGAGAATAGTGGAGAGCCAGAACCACAAAACCAGGGAGCAGCATCAGTGATTATTTGCACCAGAATGCATTTTTCAGGTTTAGAAAATTAGGCTCGGATTCATTTGGAGCAAGCACAAATGAAAACGATTAACCCTTTTCACGTGGATCCGGTTTAACGAAACGCAACATACCGCTCAAATTCGGGTGGTAGGTATCCTTCACGTCACGTTGTAACCGAGTTAGAAAACTGTATGTCATTTCTCTAACCGTTTTGTAACCCGGTTAGTTAAACCGGAGCCACGTGAAAAGAACTAATGAAACAACCCTGCCGGATTCTATTTTACGAGTCGAGTCGTAATTCGTATCGAATTGTCAAAATAGCGATTCTATTTTACGATATTACAATACGTATTACACAGTACGTCCGGAGCTGTCGTATTCGATATCGAGACAATCCGATTCGATTCGTAAAATAGAATCCGGGGGCTGTATCCTGTATCATATGATTAATGTCATTTGTCAAAAAAAAAATGTCAAAATAATATATAAAATTAAAAAAAAAAACTTTCTGATTTCTTAACAAATAAAATAAATTAATTATTGTTCAGTGTAGTCTGACTGTGACAAGACAATTACAAAAAAAACTTAATACAAAGGCAATGAAAATTACAATTTATCCAATAAAATGTAAATAACCATTTTAAGCAATCATACAAAAACACACACAAAAAAATTACATTATTTTTAGATGGATAAATACACTGTAGACTTGGATCAGGTTCTTAACGACTTTGAGTACTCGGAGCTTACCGACCAACACTCCAGAAATGTTCCAGAAAGATTGGAAAGGCCTCGGGACAATTTCCCTTTCCAACCGGCCCCTGCAACCAAACACAGCATGAATAACGTTTTCCACAGCTTGAATGAATATTTGAATAGTGGAACTGGCAGTACTACTCTTTCAGGAAATAACGACACAGCTACTCTGGGATTAAATGACAATAACTTACATTTTAACAAGCCTGAGGAAGTGAATGATATTGAGCTTCAAAGTAAGCGTATCCTCGAAAGTCTTCATAAATTAACTGAAGAAATCCCTACTCTGAAGCCAAAATATGGTCTTCAACCTATAGAAACTGCTTCAAATGATCAGGTGATAATAAACTTTGATGATCCAAAAACTAATGTCGATTCAAACAAGACTGAAATACCAGATTTTTCTTTACTAGCAACTGAAAACGTAATTTCAGAAACTATTCCTGAACAGTGTACAGAAATTTTATCAGAAAGTGAATCATGTGATGGAAATAATGATGATCCTGAATGTGATAGAAATGGTATTGATAAGGCTGATAGTTTGTTAGTTGATGATAATGTAGAAAGTAATGATTTAAATGAAAATGAAGACAATGTTTTAATTAATATTAATGAAGATATTGTTAAAAGTGTGGAAGATTTCGTAATAGAAGCTCAGATAGAACCAATAATTGAGCCTGATGTATGTGGCCTACAATCAAATTTTGAAAATAGCATAAGTGATTCTGGAATCAATGATGATTGTGTAGGAGGCCCTTTAGAAGAATTAAATGCACCCTATTTGGAAAAAGATGAAGAAGTTGTTGAAGATCAGAATTTAATCCCGACAGAGGTGAGTAACTTAAATTTATTTCTACTGCTTACGATTTTAACTTAATGTGTTTTTTTAGAGAGAACAGGTAATGGAAAAAGAAATTTTGGAAGCTAATAAAGTCTCTGAAGTATTGGATGAAAAGGAGCAACTTGCACATAATGAAACTCTTGAAAATAATGAAGAGATAAAAGATGATCTTACTGTAAATTCTCTATTACCATCAAACATTATAGATAAACCTGAAATTCAAAATGATGTTCCACAAATCATAAGTTTTTCTGCTGATATAGATATTGATGAAAGTGACCTGAATAAAATGTTAGAAGATCTCGAGTTAGAAGCACAAGGGGAATTGGAAGGTGTGAATAAAAGCACATCAATGATTCAAGAACCAGGTATGGAGGTACCCAAAGAAGAAATGCAAAATGGCAAGTTATTTTGATAGCATCTTTGAAAGGTCTTTATTAATACTGTATTTTAGATGTACCAAATCCTAATTTACAAAATCAAGCTGCTAAAAGTGAAGTTCTAGAAGAAAATCCATTGGAATGCCTGGAAATGGAAAAACCAGTAAAACCCAGGAAAAAATATTCAGCAAAAGTTTTAAACAGCAATAAATCTACAACTACTACAGTACCAGAAAATCTTGAACAACAATCTGAATGTGTCAAGATAAATGTTGAAAAAACTGGGGAACTTGAAGAAGCTTCAGCTGTTGAGAAAACTGTGAAACTTGAAGTGCATTCTGACAATGGACTTCAGGAATCTTCAACTAGGCCTCAAGATCTTCCTCTAAATAATGAAGTGAAGGAGGACAACGTTGGCAGGAAAATCAACTTAATTGGTATGAATAGACGGTTTAAACATCAAAAAGAACCTGAATGTAAGGTTTTGTGATCAATGATTTCAGTTACTCAAAATATAATAAATTTTTTATTGTCCGTTTAATGTCAGCTTTATTTTGTAGTTTCTCAATTGCTTGGTTAAAGGATATGAGGTGACTCAATGATTTAGTCAATGTTAGTTATGGGTTTTGTTATCAAAAAATAAAAACTGTATTATCTAATAGTAAATTACATTAGAATAACGAGGTTGTAGACCGAGTCGTTCTAATCACACGAGTTTTATAGTCATGTTTAAACGCACTTGTGATGTACAACGTTTTATCTACAAAGCGAAAAATAAGAAAATGTATTTTTAATTTCCGTTTGTTAGCAGTTTTCTACCTCCATTTCACCTTTACAGGTTTAACTTTGACATTTGTCAAATCACCAAAAACAGTTGTGATATAGATTCATAACCTAGTCCATAATACCACTAGTTGTGTTTTGTGTTATGAACTCATAACCTAGTCTATAACACCACTAGTTGTGTCATGAGACTCATAACACAATTAGTGGTGTTATAGACTAGGTTATGAGTTCATAACACAACTAGTGGTATTATGGACTAGGTTATGAATCTATAACACAACTGTTTTTGGTGATTTGACAAATGTCAAAGTAAACCTGTAAAGGTGAAATGGAGGTAGAAAACTGCTAACAAACGGAAATTAAAAATACATTTTCTTATTTTTCGCTTAGTAGATAAAACGTTGTACATCACACGTGCGTTTAAACATGACTACAAAACTGGTGTAATTAGAACGACGAGGTCGTAGACCGAGTCGTTCTAATCTTTCACACTCGTTATTGTAATCATGTTCATCAACGCACTTGTAATGTAAATAAAATTATTGGTTCAATACCAATACCAAGGTATAGAGAAAGTGTATGAAGTACTGGAAATATTTATGATATATTATTATTAGAGGAAGTTTTTGTTTGTTAATACATAATTCTACTCTGTTTTTTGTATTCAACAGATAACTTCTATTACACACATAGATTTATGGCCGTTTGCACCGACCATTTTAAGGAAGCCTTAGCGATAAGTATTCCTTAAAGTAACATTTCTCCACATAAAAATGTCATTTTAAGGGATACTTATTGCTAAGGCTTCCTTAAAATGATCGGTGCAAACGGCCATTAATCTCTTATCAAAGCTGATCCATGAGAATCTGGAGGTTGAACCACTATACTTTCGATACTTGACATGCTACATATACTTGACATTTTTATGTCAGTTCAGTTTTGCCCATACTGTAATAATAATTATTATTATATGAGCATTTTTACATACGATTTTTCATACACTTTTCATTTGAATCGGCGCAAATTCTAGGCAGCCCAGGTTCAACACCATACAACAACGTTTACATGAACAAATCCGTTGAACCCAAAACCCAACACCACAACCACGACATTGAGTCTGACTGTACAAGTTCAGCCAGTCCTACATTCTCAGATTGTAGTACAGAAAGCACTAGTACTGCCAGTACTGTTTCAGTGGAGGATAGCGCCGAAAAAGTCACCAAGAAAAATCCTAGTGACGTTAAAAATATCAATAATGAATTGTCCAATAAAGAAGTAGCGGAGAATGTTCTAGAAGGTAATTTTTTTTTTTTAAATGTTTATTGAATTTTTACAATTTTCTGATTTTGTAGAAAATGTGGAAAACACTGCACATCCTAAAACTGATGCTCCTGTTCTAAATGAAAATTATTCAGCAATTGGTGATGGTGATTCACAAGAGCAGAATTCCACATCTAATGATGCAGTTTTCGGCAAGTATATTATAGGCATTCAATATTATATGTAAATTAAAAATTCAGCAACGAAGATTTGGGAAATTGAGTTTTTTTTAAAAAATCATCTTGAATTGAACCTTTGAAATTTCAGATATGTTGGGGAAGGAAGCACCTCTTTGGATCCCTGACGCCGATGCTGCTGCTTGTCTACATTGTGATATGAAATTTACTGTTTTAAAACGCCGACATCATTGTCGAGCTTGTGGATTGGTTAGTATGTCCATTAACTGTATGTATGTATTCCACAGAAAATAAAAAATTGGGAGAGGATTTTTTAAAAGAAAATTCTCTGTGACATTGAATATATTGGATCCTATTTAAATCAGAGATTCTTTTCTCCTTATCATAACTTAAGAAAATGTCTACATATGAGTATACATAATTATGATAATACAATATTTAAGTGATGCCTTTTAATCTTATAGGTTCTTTGTTCGAAATGTTGTCACCTAAAATTCAGACTGGAATATTTGGACTCGGAGGCTCGGGTGTGCAATAAGTGTCATGACATACTAAATAAGTAAGTTTTTTTCTATAATATATAAAATGCTATGACATTTAAAAAAAAAAATCAGGGATACTCCAAACAATGCCGGTTCCAACTACAATTCTCCAGAATCTGGAAATTCACCAGCATTTCGGCCAAACCCCAACAATCCTCTAGAATACTGTTCAACAGTTTCTCCTTTACAACAAGCAGGCCTAACTGGAGCTCCTCCTCCTTCAGTTATGGTACCAGTAGGAGTCCTAAAAAGAAAAGGTAAAAAATTAGAGTGTGCATTATTAATTTCGGTTTGTTTCGATTTTTATTTTAGCTTGAGTATTTTTTTGAGTTTATTAAGGCATGTTTTTTTCTACGCTTGATTTAAGGTTCCAATAAAAAATCTAACAAATCTGTGATGTTCTGTGACGGCATAGCGCCAGGTAGTGATTTAACAAACCTAGACCAGGATTTCAATTATAATTCCGACTCAAAAAAATCCCTCCTCATTAAAGGCCCCGATGAAGTCAAGAAAATAGACGAAACGACTACGCCGCCGCCCTCCGCTGAAGCGGTTCCTTCCGCTAAGATCAGTAGGAATCAGCCGAAAGTTGACGAATTTACCGGGTGCTTCATACCAAAGAACGAGATGAGTTTGCCACCGACTGTTGTTATTAATAAAACAGGTAAGATTTTTGTGTTTTTGAAATTATTTGTATAAGCAATTTTTATAAATTGGAATTTACGTTACATTCTATCTATACATTCAATAATAACATTTATTTAGCAAACAATATGCTATAAGCTACAATATAAAAATGTAGATATATTTTTTGTTTTTATTAAATGAATTCAAATGCATGAAGTTTGATTTTCCGCAGCTGTGTTTGTCCCTTTGTGTTTTGGAATGCTTTCTACAGTCTTTTTCAACGGGAAATGCTCTCACTTGTGAAAAAGATTATATGTATATGGTCAAAAAATTGGCATATTTTTTTGGGAAAAGGTGTTTTATTTCCAAAGTCCTAATAGTCCAAGAGCCCAGAGCCGCCAGACACAACTTATTTTCTAAAGGACATAATATGTGGGATTGAGTAGCACTTATAGGTACTATGAACGTATGTATATTCGCTAAGTTGGGTAGACGGCCAATTCACTGTTATTTGTAAATAACGGTTTTTCCTATCATGGGAAAACCTAATCCCATTTCTACTCTAGCCTAGAGTAGACTGTAAGTTTAAGAGTGGGAAATCAGTTGACATAGATATCTCGCTCACTCTCAAACGCATGCATAGTACCCTCGCGCTTACATGTTGGGATGTTTGGCCGGTGCGATTGGTCTGGCTGAGCACACGTAGTTATGAAATGGTCTCCCCAATACCATATATAAAAATCAAGCGTTAGAACAAAAGTTAAAGCTTTCTTCAGCTTTCGCACCTGATGTTGATAAATTGGCCATCTACCCAACTTAGCGGGTATCCATACGTTCATAGTACATATAAGTGCTACACAATCCCACATATTCAGTCCTTTAGAAAATAAGTTGTGTCTGGCGGCTCTGGGCTCTTGGACTATAAACCCATTATCTATTTTGTTTTCTGCATATTAAATAAAAAAAATAACTTGATATTGATTTTATTGATTTCTTTCAGAAATTTTGTATTCAGATCACAATAATGGTCCTAGTGTGGTGAAAATGCTAAAAGATGAACCTCTAACTTTTGCAATCAATCCAAATCTGTTTGTGCAGGTCAAGGTGATAAATAGTAAGTCATACTTTTAAATTAAATTGTTAAAAAAAAAAACTGCTTTTGTACATTTTTTAGTGAGTTGTTGCATAAACAAGCAAGCATGGTGTTTTTGTACAGACGGTCTAATAAACGTAGGATCAGATGAAATTGTCTATCTCATTGAATATATTGAAGACGAAAGTTTTGTTCCAAGCGATGTATTCTTCCATTTGAATAATGTTTATAACGATGCTGTCAAAGGTAAGTTAATTTCATAAAAGCATAAAAAAACATTAATTTTGTTGTTTTTCAGGCGCTTCAATTAAAGAACTAGGTCTATCCCTTCACAACACCTCCAACTTTTTAGATTCAAAAAACCATGCTGGATTTGTATACATAAAAGCAACATTTCAGTGTTTAGAAAATTTGATACTACCCAAGGAACCTTATTTAATAGGCATTTTAATACATCGGTAATATAAGAGATTTATTAATATTGTGCTTATATAAAAATGTTTTGTGTTTAAGATGGGAAACGCCATGGGCTAAACTATTTCCTCTAAGATTAATATTAAGGTTAGGAGCGCAGTATAGGTATTATCCAAGCCCGTTAATTTCATCCAGGCATCGAGATAGTGTTTTTGTTGAAATTGGCCATACTATTATCAATCTCTTGGCAGTAAGTATAATGTGTTACTGAATCATTTATTTTTCATTTATTTATTTATTTCACACTACAGAGGTATACAATGGGTATATAAATATTCAATGTGAAGTACAATACATCAATTTAAAAACTAATGCAATATTTAGGATTTCAGAAATTTCACGTACTCCCTGCCCCAAATTCGCGGTTTAATTATCCATATGGAAGATAAAAATACGACTATTATTATACCAAGGAATCGATATGATCAAGTAATAATTTTTGGTTTAATTAATATATAACATTTTTAATATTTTTTTGCCTTAGGTAATGAAAACGATAAATGATTCTAGCGAACACATACTGGCATTTGCAGGCAATTTTAGTTCAGAAGCTGACTCACATTTAGTGTGCATCCAAGACACCCAAGGCCACGAAAATATCTATACTACTCATGCAATTAATATTCACAGTAAACCTAGAAAAGGTGAGTTATTTAGTAAATACTACTAAGTACCAACACATACTTTTTTTTTTCAGTTACTGGTGCCAGTTTTATAGTTTTCAACGGATCCTTAAAATCCACCAGTGGCCTGAGTGCCAAGTCCAGCATCATAGAAGACGGTCTGATGATCCAAGTACCACCAGATCACATGGACAAAATAAGGGATACTTTGCGCAAGATGAAAGATCACACCATACCTTGCGGGTGCCTCAATGCCGATTCGGATGAAAGCGTCAACATTATTTGGGGAGAGAACGATACTGATTTTAACGTAGGGTAAGTTTGAAATTAGGTTTTTTTTTTAGTTTGGGTTGGAAAGTGTGACAAATGGAATATTCGTATGTTTATATTAGATAAGTTTATACTAGAAAACACTTGTTTGTTGGCTCTATGTATGATATTTATGAGTTTCCAAGTATATACCATAAAATCAAAATTTGTAAAAATACCACACATAATGTAACATTTATTATATGATATATAAAGCTACAACATCTTTAACCGTTTATTTTTGTCTCCATAGAGTGACTTCACCAGTAGATCTCCAAGCCTTGAAAGGCATTCCATCTATAAGGGTTCATAATGGAAAAGATTATCCATGTACCAACGGGACTCGCCTAATTAGGTGGACAGAAGTATTTATTTGGCAGGTGAATATAATATTTACTTTTTGCAGTTTTCAAATATTATAACAATTATTTTCTAGAATGGAGAAGAAAATCCCAAAAATCAAGATCCAGTGGATATTTCTAAGGTTTCAGAGAGTATAGCGAAAGCATGTTGCACGGCCTTAGTCAAGTATTTGGACCTTTTGGTGTCGAACAGTTTTCAGAAGATTGGTGTCAGGACAACATTGCATGTTGATAATGTGAGTGAAACTTAACATTTATGTAAATAGTTTTAAGCTGCTTATTCACCTTCTGATATGCAATCTGATGAATAAAAACGCAATTTGTCATCTCATTGGTTGGCCAATTAATTTAAGCAATTTATAAACGCTATAAAATAATTAAAAATACCTTATTATTATTTCTAGGTTTCATATTCTGCGGGTAGCAACGGTCTGAAATTACCGCCAATCTACATGCGCAGTTTAGACAACGAACTAATTCCCGTGTTACATCGCATATCTTCAAATAATCTTGGTGATAACGCCATTGTTCTTGAACTGGTCTTTCGCATATTGAATGCGTAGTATTTTCAAAAAAACAATGATTATGAATTTCCACGTTAATAATAATTGTAGAAGTGATTTTCAGTTGTAAAAACTGCATCTGGTGCATAATGGTAGTGTGTAATTTGTAATTAAAAATGTATGTTTCTGTGTGTTGTTACTATACTGGGTGTCTCATTCAAAGTTAATTATTTCAGGACACACTGAAAAAGGTTGAAAAATTTGTCATATCTACACACTACCAAGTACCAGTTCAAATACAATTTTTTTTATCCTAAAAAGTACAACTAGAAGCCACTTCTCGTTATCACTTTGTATAGTGTAATTTTAAATAGTAATGTTCAAACAGGAGCTTAATGAAAAGAGTGATTTGAGGGGAAATTTTTCTCACATTTGTTTTTCAATTCCTTTTATTTTGAAATGTAATAATTTTGAAATTCGTTTTCCAACAACATTTTTTGTTTCTTTAAGTTAATTATTTTTGTTAAAAAGAGTAAAATTTTACATTTATTATTTGCACATATGAAATAAAAAACTGTTCAATATTTATATTTTAACCAAAATATTTTTATTTTATCTTGAACACTCCTTTTTAATAATCAAGACTATTTTATTTTAAAAGTGCTTTTTGTTTATATTTTATTTGCATTAGTGGAATCTCTAATCTCCCATCGATAGGAAAGAGAGTATTATTAGAGATCAAATTTCTTATATTTATATACTTATGTATTATATTCCGTACTAAATCAACCACTGTAATTTTAATATGTATTGTCATTGTTTATGGCGCTTTGTGTAGATTATTTTTGTTTTAATAAAGCTATTTTCAAAGTTTGTCTCAAGATTATATCCCACAACATTTGTTCTTAGTTGAATTATAAAAAAAAAGGAGGCACAATTTACATTGAAAATAGGCCCACGTAAATTTCAATATTTTAAAGGTATCATCATTGCAAGAAAAAATTTGAAATGTAAAGAGGATTGTATGTCGTTTATAGTAGATATAGCTCATCAAAGTGTAGGTCCTGCTATGCAATGCATAGGAAATATCCCTACTTAGATTTTCTTGAAAAAGTATCTTTTCCGTACTTGCGTGCGGAAAAGTATAACTTTCCGCACTTATTAGGTAAATAACTAATCCGATTTCGACCTTTTTGGAGTTTGATACCTACAAAAGGACCCCAAAAACGTCAAAATCGGATTAGTATTTTTCGAGATTTTCAAGAAAATCTACGTAGGGATATTTCTTTGGATATTTCCTATGCATAGCATAGCAGGATCTACGTATTTTGATGAGCTATATCTGCTATAACAGACATACGATCCTCTTTACATTTTAAATTTTTTTTTGCAATGATAATACATTTAAAATATTGGAATTTGGTTGAAATTTACGGGAGCCTATTTTCAATGTTAATTGATTCTTTATGATTTAATAATTATTTTCACAACACAAAAAAAAAGGATCCTTATTTCGTATATGGCTAGTGCTGGACTTATTTCTACTTTCTAACAATGAACAAGAAGGCCTATTGAAACTGGTCATATGGTTACGATAAAAATTCGTCATTGGGTTTTTCAAAAGTTTTATTTTGCATTATAATAGGTTTTACTACATCTAAGATTAAGTTTAAGAATCGTCAATTGTTTCGAACCCACCAAGGTGGATTTAGAACAAGTAATTTTTTTTTCTTAGGCTAAAAATAACACATATGTGCAAAAAAAAATAACCTAAATCTCATCCCAAAAAAAATTTAAATACATTATACTATTGCTCATTATATAAGCATTAAATACATTACATAAACCTAAAAAATATCACTTAAACTCAAACTATAAACTGTGTTTTATCATATTTTTAATTTTTTTTTTTTATATTATAGTAGTTACAGAAAATAATATATTTTTTTTTTTGCTAGTTATGTAAAAGTTACATATAAACAAGCGGTAAATGTAATTTTTATACAACTAGTTTTGGAAAAAGTCATTTAATACGAGAACAAAATTAAAATTCCTCTTCGTTTCCATAGACATTTTCATCTGAATAGGCGATGTACAAAAAGAAATCCTCTTCGTGATGTTCCTGGAACAAATTCAATATGAGTAGATTGTGCATTTCTATTTTCCGAGACAATAATTATGTCAGTGATAGTGTTGGAATTTTGTTGTTTAAATGGAGGAATGTGTGAAATTTTTATTAGAAACATGTTGACGTGACAACATATCATAGTGAATGCTTGAAATTAGCTTTACTTCAACTCAGGAGTCAGCGAGTATCAAAATTATAGCAATTTCTGGATGAGATCCTCACTAAGTAATTTCAAGACTTCAGAAGTCAAGTCAGTTCTCAATTAATATAAAATAAGAAATGTATGAGTGTCAGCAGATAATATAACAAGGAGAAACATTTTATACAGCGAGTCTAAAACAATAGAGAATGATAAAATTCCAATCTAATTACTTATTGTGAGTCACTTAACAAGTGGTAAATCACGTTTAATTTTTGTTAATGATAATAAAAAAAAACATTCAGTTGCATTTTCTTGATTAAGGAACCTGATTCTATTATTGTAAAAACATCAAACGTGTTTTCTAGTGGATACAGATTAAGAAACGAATGTTTTCCAATATTTATGGTTCTTTATTCTTTTACCTTTGAACTTCTATTTGGATCCCTAATTGAATTAAAATTAAACAGAAAAAAAAAACCTACTTAGTTATATTTATATTAACATGTTTAATTAGTCGGCCATTCAATTATTGTAAAGAATAAGGTTGAAAAACTTTGACTAGCTAGATTCACCATTTAGGTATTTGTATATCAAACGTTTGCACTCAGGTATTTGAAATTTTGCTTATTTAAATTATGACTCACCACTTTCAACAACTGATAATTCAAACATATTCCTAGTCATTTAAAAAAAAAAAAAATGTTTTTTATGTTTTGTTGGAGATGATTATACTAATTATTATTCGTTATTATCAATATTAATTAATCCATAATTCTTTATTGTTCTAGAGTGGTAAGAATTGATTTTGCACATCATATCTGCAAAATCAGAGAGGTATTTTTTTATTCAACAACGTTTTGATTCCTGTATTGGCTCCCAAATACGTTATTATTTTATACTACATACCATTCCATGTGTTTGCAAATAACATTGTATTGGCAATAGAGGAACGTTCCTGAACAAAAAAATATATTTGATTTTGCAGTGATTATTCCCACGAAAATCAGATATCAATATTATCAATTCCTGATTTTTTTCCAATACTAACCTGATATAAGGAACCCATGGTAGCAGACGTGGGAGGGATCACATTGTTGACGAAGAAGAACAGAGCGTCTTCTGGCCTAAGGTGGATCCGCTTTCTGATCAAGAAGTAAAACTGACCTACCGTCAGGTCAGACGGGACCAGATATTTCTTCTTGTCAACATCCCCAATTTTGGCTTGGGGCGCCCTTTCAACGATGACCTACAACAATTATTAAGTATGAATTAATTATCAAAATTTTTCATTGTCGAATAAACAATTATTCTTTTACAACATTTAAGTTTTGGCAGTTTCAAGTAAACTATAAGTAATATAAGTACCTAACTCCGAGGCGGAGGTTTGTAACAATTGCCTAAATGCAAAAGAAGTTTTTTTTCAATCTGCATTCACTAGAAACTGTCCCGCATACAAGAGAGTCTATGAACAATTGCAAATGAGAGTCAGTTACCCTGAAACATTCAGCAAGGTAAACAAATAGCAATTGCAGTGTCAACAGCGGCTGTATCTTAATATCCAAAGTTTATTAGCCTATAAAACTGAACGTATTTGGTTAATAATCAGAGGGAACCTACGGTCATCTGCTTAGGTGAAACTCATATCACAGAAGAGGTGGAAACAATTATTGACGGATATAAACAAGTGCATACATTTTCATCAAGTCGACAGACAGGAGGTGCTTCTATATACATTGATGACGAACTCCAGTATAATATAGTAATAAATGAAATTTTGGAAAAAAATATTTGGCTAATCGGAGTAAATTTGAATATCAAAGGTCAAAAATACAATATTCTTAATGAACAATTCGCCTAGTTCAAGTCACAAGTTTCTTGATAAACTGGATAAAATAATTAAAGAATATGCAACCAAACCTGATACATTTCTATTGGTAGGAGACTTCAATATAAACGTTGCAAGGAACACAAACTAAAAACATTAGTTTTAAGTCATGGAATGTATCAAATGGTTCAAAATTTCACAAGAGTTACTCAGAATAGCTTCACGAATAATAAGACAGTTGAACACAAGGTTCATAACACGCCAAAAGTAGCAGATCATTCGATAATAACCATTGATTTTCCTCATATCGAAACAGTCACTGAAATAGTTCTTATCAGAGATATGTATAACTTTAACGAACTTTAGTTCCAACTAGATCTCATGGATAGCGTATGGCCAGATTCCCTGCAATCTACGAATGACATAGCCAATCACCTTGTTCAAACAATATCTGATAACCTTAATCAACAACAACCTTTAGTTGAGAAAAGGATATACAATAAATATGGAAACAAAAAATGGTAGTCACCAGAAATTAAAGAACAAGTATCACAAAGAGACATATTATACAAAAAAGCCATAATTACACATCAAAATGAAGACTGGAAATCTTACAAACAAGGAAACAAGGTAGTGCAGATAATTAGGACACAGAAGCAGAGATATTACCATGATCAAATTGATGAAGTTAAACACGATGAAAAAGAGATGTAGAGAACCTTAAAAAATCTTATAAGTGGACCCAAAAGTGCTAAAAATTGAGGAGTTATATTCGAGGATCGTATGGAAAGGAAGAATACAGAAATTACAGAAAAATTCAACAACTATTTCTTAGATAGTATTCGAGTCCTGTCCACAGATACAGAGCAAAGAGTGACAAGTGTGATATTAGATAACATTGTAACACCTGTAAATAAATTTGAGCAGTTCAATTTGCTGGAAATGAGGGAATTGAAAAATATATTGAATAACTTGAAAAATAAAAAAAGTAGTGTGGATGGTATCAGCGTCAAGATACTGAAGGCAGCATTTGAGTCAATTGGCCATCAGTTTCTCCAGCTTATCAACTCCTCTCAGGTAGTTTTCCCAAAGATTGGAAACTGTCAAGTATAGTTCCAATCGAAAAAGTAAGAAACACAAAACAATGCGAGGAATATTGACCTATCAACATGGTGCCAATATATGAGAAGCTTTTGGAAACAGTTGTAAATAAACAAATGAGGAAGTATATTGAGGAAAACAAATTGCTTACCGAATTTCAAGCTGGTTTCAGAAAAAAAAACATTCTTGTGAAAATGCTCTACAGACTGTCATCTCCAGATGGAAGAACGCGCTGAGTGTGAAGAATGTGGTTGGGGTTGTCTTTTTAGATTTTCGAAGAGCGTTTGAGACTATAAATTGTAGTCTTCTTAAACAAAAGTTGGAAAAAAATGGTTTTCAGGGAACGGTCCTTAAGTGGTTTACAGAATATCTGGACTCTAGAACGCAGCAGACAAAATATCATAATGCCATTTCATCAGTGGAAGTAAACAGTTATGGTGTACCACAGGGAACAGTTATGGGTCCGGACCTTTTTGTATCGTACATAAACGATATTGTCAGAGTAGTTAAACATTGTGAATTGAAACTTTTCGCATATGATACCGTCTTATTCTTACAAAGTGAAAACATGGACAACTTAATAAAATTAATTAATGAAGATTTAGATAGGCTATATAAATGGCTGTGTGATAATAGTTTAAGTATTAATATCAAAAAAACTAAGTTTATGTTATTAAAAAACAAGAATTATAATACAGATATCAACTCTCATAGTAATGTATTCATAAATGGTGTAGAGGTAGACAAGGTTAAAGAATTGAAGTATTTAGGAGTAGTTATCGATGAGTTTCTAACATTCTCTAGTCATGTGAGGTATCTGATTAAAAAAGTTTAAAAAAAAAAAAATATTTTCTATGTAAAATAGGTGGAGACCTAAGTGGTTGGACTAAATTAATTATTTATAAAACAATAATACTACCACATTTTAATTACTTTGCTTCAATTATGTACAGGGTGTCCCATTTAAGATGGTATTGGGGGTTATCTGCTAAACTCGTAGAGATAGATTTTTTTTTGATCTCACATTCCTGGGCCAATTTTTCATGACGGATCGAATGCCGCAAACCGCAAGTCTCTATCCCGTACCGTTTCGAAGATACAGGGTGAAACTTGAAATTCTCACTTTTCGAGGGAAGTCAATCAGGCCTATGATGTATCCTCTCCTGTTATTTTAACGGTTGTGTTATAGCTCAAAATCTATACCTGTCTCTATTTTTGAATGTAGAATAAACAGTGACAGATAACTTAACGTTACTGTTAAAATAACAGAAAATGATACATCATAGGCCTGATTATCTCGCGTACGAAAAAAGATATCAGAAAGATGAAAATTGTATCTGACGCAGTTTTTTACGTAGATTCCATTGGCGTACTGCAATTTTTTTTCCAAGGTTGGTTTTATTTTTTGGTGTGAAAAACTTATAATTTTTTGATATGGGCCACCCTGTAAAATTATAGTTTATTAATTGATGTATTTTCTTCCATTTTAACGATATAGGTATTACACTTTTAAGTTATACCTCTGCATTAACTTCAAGAAAAAATAGTTTCTGATTGTAAAGAAAATTGACGTCATTTCGGATTAACTAAATAATCAAATATCTCACTAATGAACTCACTAAACTGAATTTAATAGTCTAACGCCCAGTTTATTCTTCTGATAAACTGTCAGGCAATGCAATATGACGTAAAAACTGGCAATCTATACATAATCCTATTGGTTGGCCAATTATCTGCAGACCAATAAGATTAGAGGTTGGCAAATTTATCTTGTAGTGTAGGCAGTTAGGCGGTTGGCCTTCCGCACATTAGGCAACTGGAAAGAAACATTCTAGAAACTTGAATCCTCAATCAGTTGCTTATTAGTTGCCGCTAGTGTATTTCAATGAGCATCCGCACACAACACAACTCGCTGGTAACGAAACTCGGCGGGTCGGTGATCAGTTAGTCGCAACTCGACATGCAGCTTCGCTTAGCGATTAATTTCTAGTATATCTTATGAAGAAGCACGCAAAATGGCGGAAACTGGAGAACAATCCTTCAATTTGAGGCTAGTTCAAATCCTATATGCATATTATTTTATTATTTAATGTAGTGGTAAACCTAATACCTCATTTTCTTGTGCCGATTTTTTTTAAATAATTATAAGTGATAATATCTTCATGACTTAATTGAATCCGAGGGGTGAATAGCTCTTGCAGTCGGTGTACAGGGTGGCCCGTTTAAGAGGGGCCTATACCTTATCTCGAAATCTACAAGGGCTGTAAAAAAAATTTAAATACAAAAGTTGTTTCTAATAAAATTATCTACAACTTTTTTGTATTATTTTTGGTGTCACTCTACTATATACAGGGTGAACAAATGAAATTGCATTTTTTTAAACGGAACACCCTATATTTTAATACATTTTTAAATAGCTCTTTGAAAGACAAATTCAACGGTATACTGGTCATGTGTCTGTGATATACCGTTTCGAACTTATTAGCAACTATCTTCAGGATTTGGCGTAATTTTCAACAGTCATTGTTACGTTACTCATAAACTTTTTAAACTTTTTTCTGCATATTTTCTATAAAATAATGCTCTTCTTTAGACTATATCAAATTTGAAATATTTGCTTTAAAAACGCGGTGTTGCCACGTTCCGCAAAATGTTACGCTTTTCAATTTTTTTTATCTTTTTTTATCTTCAGTTCTAGCACAATATCTCATGTCATCCCTGTTGAATGAAAAAAATGTCTAATTTTGTAGTAGATTAGCTAAAATAGTGCTTTTTATGCATTAATGGTGGCAATATTGAACAATTTCTTTACATTAATAAACCACGTTAATAGATGGTTGAAGGAAAATAGACATATGTTTGTTATTCACCGGGCGACTTGGACATATGAAATATTGTGCTAGAACTGAAGATAATTGCTAATCAGGCCGAAACGGTGCATCACAGACCCATTTCCAGTATATCGTTGAATTTGTCTTTTAAAGGGCTATCCAAAAACTCGAAAATTAACAGGAGGTCCCATTTAAAAAAATTGAAAAGCGAAACATTTTGCGAAACGTGGCAACACCGCGTTTTTAAAGCAAATATTTCAAATCTGAATATAGTCTAAAGAAGAGCATTATTTTATAGAAAATATCATGCAAAAAAAAGTTTTAAAAGTTTATGAGTCACGTAATAATGACTGTTGAAAATTACCCCAAATCATGAAGATAATCGCTAATAAGTTCGAAACGGGTTATCACAGACACATGACCAGTATATCGTTGAATTTGTCTTTCAAAGGTCTATTTAAAAATGTATTGAAATATAGGGTGATCTATTTAAAAAAATGAAATTTAACTTGTCCACCCTGTATATAGTAAAGTGACAACAAAAACAATACAAAAAAGTTGTAGATAATTTTATTAGAAACAACTTTTGTATTTACATTTTTTTCACAGCCCTTGTAGATTTCGAGATAAGGTATAGGCCCCTCTTAAACGGGCCACCCTGTACATATTCCTCACAATTTACACACAATCAGATCACAATCGTTCACAATCTGTCACAATCGTTACACAATCTCACACAATCTGCCACAATCGTTACACAATCTCACATAATCTGTCACAATCGTTACACAATCTCTCACAATCCTGTCACAATTACTCGCAATCATGTCACAATCTCCCACAATCGTTGCACAATATCTCACAATCGCTACACAATCTACCACCATCTGTCGCACGTGGAGTCCCTCCAAATAGTTTTATTTACTTTATTCTCGCCCATAAAAATAAGCTAATAAGCCCTTTTGATTAGCTAACTTTTGTGTGCCACCTCGGCAGCATAAATTTCTGAAATCCGTCGTACTGAATAGGAAAATTCCCATAAACCGTAAAACAAGCATAAATACGACCATAAATATATGAGGAAGAATCGGAATATGTATACTTATTGAAAAGGACCTATCTCTACTTTCCTCAGTTGACAATCTTGAATTAAAGAATTATCAATAAAAAGCAAAAAAGTTTAACTTAAAAACCAAAAAGAATTTACACTTAATCCAAGTAATATCGAGAAATAAAAAACTATTAACAGTAAGAAAAACTTCTTTATATTGGCTATTTTCAGAAAAATATGGAAAATTATCAATAGTAATATAACTAGTGCAATGGAAATTATTGATAATTTTTGGGAAATTTGCCCGAATGCATTTTTAGTTGAAAAAGAGCACGAGTGCACGAGTGCCTTTTTCAGTTAAAAATGCATGAGTGCAAATTTGTCGAAAATTATAAATATATTTCCATTGCACGAGTTGTATTTAATGAGAGAATTTCATAAATCAAAAATTTACAGGGTGTCCCATTTGAGATGGTATTGGGGGTTATCTGCTAAACTCGTAGAGGTAGATTTTTTTTGATTTCACATTCCTGGGCCAATTTTTTATGACGGATCGAATGCCGCAAACCGCAAGTCTCTATCTCGTACCGTTTCGAAGATACAGGGTGAAACTTGAAATTTTCACTTTTCGAGGGAAGTCATTATCTCGAGTAAGAAAAAAGATATCAGAAAAAAAAATTGCAGTACGCCAATGGAATCTACGTAAAAAACTGAGTCAGATACAATTGTCATCTTTCTGATATCTTTTTTCTTACGCGAGATAATGACTTCCCTCGAAAAGTGAAAATTTCAAGTTTCACCCTGTATCTTTGAAACGGTACGAGATAGAGACTTGCGGTTTGCGGCATTCGATCCGTCATAAAAAATTGGCCAAGGAATGTGAAATCAAAAAAAATCTACCTCTACGAGTTTAGCAGATAACCCCCAATACCATCTTAAATGGGACACCCTGTACATGTTTTCCAAGTTTGTCATATGCCCGTATTACATTTGTGTATTTTTCTGTGTATTTATTCATGTAGTTCAGGGTGACAACCGAAAAACTTCAAACGCAACATAAATCCGCATTATGAAAAACAAAATAATGTTGGCACCCTGAACTACATGAATAAATACACGGAAAAATACACAGATGTAATACACACATTAGACATACTGCAGAAAAAACAAAACATAACTTTAAGATGTATTTTAGGATGTGATAGGTACAAAAGACACACTGAAGTCGACAAATGTATTAAGTGTAAGGCAGAATATTTATTTTTGTACCAAAACAGTAGCTTATAAGTAAGAAAAAAAAATGGTCTGTATCCAATCCAGAACATATATTACATAAGCTGCAATTTGTCTCTGATATTCATAACTACAATACTAGAAGTAAATTTGATTTTTATGTTCCGACTGTCCAGTCTTCTTTCGCACAGAATAGCTTGTTTCATAAAGGATTAGTAGAGTTTAACAATCTTCCTAGTGATATTAAGAATGAAAGTTTCGCAACATTTAAGGTTAGGTTAAGAGAATTTATTGTTGAAAACTAAAGTAGTGTTTAAATACTGAATATTTTGCTAATGTAATGATGTATTTCTTGTTGTTTGTTAGCTGATGCTATTAATAAAGGCTATTATTATTATTATAACATGGAGTTCAGAGATGTGAATTCGAGTGTGAATTAGAAGTTTTCACAAACAATGATGACCTATTTTTTTATTGAAATATTACTGAACATAACAATTTTGTCAGACTCAAAGAATAAGTACCTACTTCAAAGAAGATAAGATTGATGCAAAATAATGTATTCTTTGTTTTACAATTTGTATTCCAGTATATGTATTATTCACAGTTTTTTAAATTGGAAGGTAGAAACCAAGGTAGAAATTTTAAGATGTAAACTTATACCTACTATTTGAGAGGTGTTTCACTGGGGCAACTTAGTGTACACTCGAAGGGAATACTGGGAAATAACCTATACTATTTTAGGAAATTAGGTGTAATTATGATGAATAGGCAATTCTGGTGAAATTGAGAGGAAATAGGTAAGGGAAATACAAGTACAAATAGGGAAATAATGTGGAATTATGGACAATTGAAGAAATAGAGGTCAATGGGAAATTTAAAAAGTTTATGGGGAAATATATTTTTAAAATAGGATAATTAAGTGTACACTTTTTGGTAGGTGGAACACCTCTCGAAACTATCTTACCAAATTTATATTGGACAAAGTATAAATAAAGCAACTTATTATTACTACCATGTCCATAGTCATAAATCCTCATAGAAATGGAAAATTGGGGATAGTTATATGAATAAGTTGCGCTTAAAAATATATTTCATCATACATAGAATAAAGAAATAAACAGAAAACGCTTGAACAGGCTCAACGAGAGGCTCAATGAAACTTTGAGACCAACCCTGTGTATGCACCAGTTTCAAATAATGGTGACTTCATAGGAAAAGTGCCATTCATTGTCCATTTTTTTTTTTTTAATTATCTACTGATTAAGTAACTTCATGTATATTTTCTCTTTGTTTAAAATTAACAACCTAATGAATCAGCAATAGGAAATCAAAACAATAAGACATTGCCACACATTTCTGCTAAGCCTGTAGTTATCTTATTTTATCAATTTACCAAATGAACAATGAACAATCAGTAAAAATATAAATCAGAAATTTATTAGAATTGTAGTACAAAAATGTGTACTTGTTTTTTGGAACAAATTCCAATTTGTACTCTAATAAAATGTACAAAAAACCAGCTGTTATACCTATGTTTTGTGACAAAGCCAAGATTGTGTTTTTTTTTTCAACCAATTATTATGCAAAAATCAAAAAAAATTATTTTAAAGAGAAAATACAAGTGGGCTTTGAATGACCTTGCCGCCATTGCTAGAGAAAAGTAAAAAAAACAAAACATTTGCCAAATGAGAGACGTCATTCGTTTTGTGATTAATTGATTGCAATTTTCATGAAATTCTCGAAAAATAGCGAGATTATTCAACAGATTATTGAAAATATCCACAAACAGCAACAAAACGAAGCAAAACTCCATATTTTTCAGCAGTTCTTTGTTTAGAAAAATTGAACGTAGTATGGTGAAACTTACGGGTACACGGTCGGGGTATTTCCTTCTGATTTTCTCGCCTTCGATTTTCCTCTTTTCGAACGGGAACTCTTCCTTGTACATGAACTTCATTTTGACTATTTAAACAACGAAAATTTAATGGATCAACAAATTATTTCTTGCCTGGCACACAAAATGATTTCAATGACTTCGATTGACGTTTACTACTAAACCACACCACTACCAGCAGATTTTTTTTTTGTTATGAAAACAATCGATGGTACAGTGTTGCCGTTTTACAAAATTGTACTAAATCTAGTACATTTTTAATAATTAAGTACAGATATACACTGGAGAAGTATTGCACGAAATATGCAAAATAAATAGAGAGATATGGTAATCCAAATAGCGTATTGTGACAATAAATTGCTACACTATCTGATATTTGCGTAGAACTTGATTTTGGAACTGCTCTGCGCCTACTCCGAACTGTTCTAGAATAGCATTGTACGAACCCGCGATAGACTTTTTTTATACTTTTTTAGTATCCGAGTGAAATCTTTTTTCATTCATAAACACTTTGACCATAAATAGGTTGTCTGGTAATAGTTGTATTCCTTTCACACCTAGGAGGAGCTCCGGAACAGCTCCGGGGCTTCACGCGCTTTTTCCTTTCGAAAAGTTTTTGTTGCACCACGCATAATATGTTCCCTGCAAATCAGGGGCTACTAAACACCGGAGCGAGTAGCTCGAGTGTTTCAAACTCTTGAAAGGAATACAACTAATGGGTAACTTGATGACGTTTCTAGGGTGCCTTATGTTGAGACATTGGTTGAGACACCTCAAATGACGTCATAAAAGTTTTCAGGCAACCTACCTCTCTTTGAACCACCATTGGAAGAGGTGAGCTTAGGGTTTCCATACGTCCGGATCTACCCGGACATGTATGGGTTTTTAGGGTGTCCGGGGAAGTCCGTCCGGAACTCGAAGATCGTGATTAGTGAAAACAACCTAACTTTGAATATTTCAATCGTTACGGTTATGTATTAATTTCTGTAAAAATGTATTTTTGCAAAAAATTAACAAAATTCATCCTTTATAAAAATTTTAAATCATTTTTTTACTACCGTGCATAAAGTACTCTCTTTACGCACTATTCAGAAGACGTAAAATTTCACTTCAGACACTAATATCAATGCCAGATGTCGACACTGTCAATTTTGTATTTTTCTGGTATTACTTCGCACACTAGTGCGTAAAGTGAAAATATTTCACGCACTAGTGCGTAAAGTATTTGTCTAAATCTATATTTTTACACATATTTGATTAGTAGTAGAAAAAAATTTGTATGCAATACGTGCGTGAAGAACCTTTTATCACGAATGTGAATTCATAGACTATTTTCTACTACCATACGTAAAGTACTCACTTTACGTTACGCAATATTCAAAAGACGTAAAATTTCACTTCACGCGCTAGTAGGTAAAGTACGTAATTCACTTTACACACTAGTGCGTGAAGTATGTCATTGATATACCTTGTGGACACTGTCATTTTTTTATAGTAAATTATTTCACTTTTCGCACTAGTGTATGAAGTACCTATTTGTCTAAATTTATTTTTTTTACACATATTTTATTGGTAGTAGAAGAAAAATTGCATGCAATACGTGTGTAAAGTGAACACATTCGTGAAAAAAGGTTCAGTTTACACACTTTGTTGCATAAATAGCTATTTCAGCGAAGTCCGGATTTTGTCCGGATTTCTTAGCTCCTTCGTCCGGAATTCCGAAAAACCTTCATGGAAACCCTAAAGTCCTGTCGATTTTAATCTGATATTCCAAAGGAATGTGAGCTAGTGGCACCCTACATTAGAACGCCAATGGTTACCTGTCTTCACACCTATTTTTGCCATATACTTCACCCCCTCGCTCCTCATACATACATACAGATTAAAAACGACAGAAAATAGGTGAGCTGCTCCAGCAGATTCGTGGTGGGGATGTATCAGAGACAAGACCCGCCCAAGGTTGTTTAGACCGAAGGATAATACACGCTAATAAGGATTGCCTATCCGCCTCGTTTTTGGTAATCGCCGCCATATTGGTGTGTCACCATTTCCGACGTCATAACTAAGTTGTCAGCTGTTTGCACTAGCGGTCGTAGTTCAGAATTTGAATTGATGAAAAATATTATTTAATTTTGATTAATATAATAGGCAAAGAGGAAGATGAAAACGAGATCTAAAAAAAAATTGTTTTCGAATGCTTATTAATGTAGTAAAACCAAGTATGTATTGTTCGCCGATTTTTATCTGACACGTATGAGGAGCAAGGGGGTGAAGTTTATGGCAAAAACAAGGTGTGACGTCAGGTGACCATTGGCCTTCAAATGTAGAATGCCACCAGCTCACATTCCTTTCGAGTATCAGATAAAAAGGCTCTCCCAAACCAACGCTGAAAATTCGCAACACCTACGAATATTCGCACCGCAAACGATTCGCAACAAATTGTTTTCACTGCGGTAAATGGGCAAATTCAAACTGGTTCAAATTTCTCCGGTTTGGCTGCGAATTATCTGCGTTTTTATTCGCACGGAAACTCAGTTCGCAATCGAATGCGTTTTTGGTCCGATTTGCAGTAATTGCGCAACGTTACAAAGTGAAAAATAATTAAATTGGAACAAATTATTGAATCAGTTTGAAAATACCTGGATACCTACTGAAAATATAACGTAAATTGATGCGATTATGTTCGCTTTGGTGTGACACACCTCCGGAATCCACCATGAAATTCGCTGCGGATTCTCCGTCACGAATCCGTTGCGAATAATTCGCGTTGGTTTGGGAGAGCCTTTTGCTTATAAAGTCCGTCGATTTTAAAGCAAAAGCCCGCGGAATCTTAACCTGTGGTGCAAACAGCCTTAAGGCGAGAAAGGACATGCTGCTACGTCACAATTGGTGATTTGGCGTAGTGGGGGGCTTCAAATGTGTTCCACGCAGGCCACATGAGAATAGGCTATCCTGTGTAGTATTGTGTATTATCCTTGGTTTAGACCCTTCTTTCCCTCTGAACATGTCAATAATTAAGTACATTCAGGCGGTCCCAGCTGTAGCGCATCGTAAAAGTTTCATGTCAGCGGCTGAGTGTTTCAGCATAGAAAATTGCTGCTGTCCGGAAAGCGGTTTACGATTTTTGACATTTTCCATAATAATGACTTTTAAACTAAAATATATTCCACTCTACAGGCTACTAGGTGATTTGCCACAAAGTTCAAATCTGTTGTTGTAACTGGCTAATGGGAAATGCGAATATATCATATATAGTGAAACGAACAAAAATAAAAAGTAAAAAGTTAAAGTTTGAATTGTTTTGACATTTGATCCGCTCGCAGTCACGCATTCAGCGGAAACGAAGCTGCTTTATAACAGCGGCCATAATTGCTTTAAGTGTCTCAACTTAGCCGCTGGAAACGCCTGAATGTACCCACTAGACTAATGAAAAAAATGCGCACGGGCGCAACCCGTTTATCTATCTATCTGCCTCTAACTCATATGATCCGTTTGATGGGCGCTACAGGTTTACTTATCGGCCTTGATTTTTGAAATCAAGTTCATATGGCATTGCACCGTTTCCGACGTCAACAATGGTGTCGTTAAAAACAGTGACTCTATTAAACCATGATTAAACCATAAGTTGCGCAAATTGCTGTCTTATTTTTAATTGTTCTTTAAAATCCTTTATACTTATTCGTATGAAAAACGCCGCCATTTTGTACCGTATCTCCTGCTAATTTTAAATATGATATATATAAAATCTGTTTTTTTTTTTAAAGTCAAAATGACATTATGTTGGCAATACAATGTAAAATTGTCTTGCCAACATAGTTACTAAATTTTTGACTTGGAGAATTTTCTTTAAAAAAAAAAACATAGTTTAGGATCTAAATGGACATCCATCATAAAAAATTGAAAACGTATTTCAGGTACAGATCGCTTCACCAGGGTTCATACTTTTGACATAAAACTGGTACAGGCAATACATATTTTTTGAATTTGCCTAGTGTGAGTCAGGCTTAACAACAAAAAGTCTCTTCTGAAAAACTTAAGATAGACTGTTTTTTTTATCAACTTCAAAGCTGAACAAAAGTAAAGCATGTTTTTATGTTATGATTAGGTATGTTTCTGCAGAAATCACAAACCAGTCAGAGCGAATTTCATTGGTTAAAAACAGTCAGAAAAATATTTTCAGCCAATGAAATTCACTCTGACTGGTTTGTGATTTCTGCAGAAACCAGACCTATTGGCTTAAATATGACACTGACTTGACTCTTTCTGTCATTGTTGAGGTGATAAAAAAGGTCGATTTACACAATACAACACAATAGGAAAATGCGTACCAATTTTATGATTGGCCAAGTTTACCTAAGAAATATAGGGACATATAATTTTCTGACACTAGTGACAGTTCGGACACTGAGCTTTGACGCCTCACTGAGACGGGATAGACGAGATTAAAAAGAACGGTTGTTTACATGTCAAAATCGTGATCCAGGGCGCCCAAGCCCCTGAAAAAAAGCAGCTCTTATAAATACGTTGTTTTCAATTTTTTATGATAGATGTTCATTCAAATCCAATAGGTCTGTTTCTGCAGAAATCACATACCAGTCAGAGCGAATTTCATTAGTTGAAAACAATCAGAAGCAGACAGAGAACTAGTTTCAACCAATGAAATTCACTCTGACTGGTTTGTGATTTCTGCAGAAACAGAACTATATATTCATATTCAAAATTAGCAGGTAGGGGGGCACAAATGGCCTATTGTTTCCACTGTTTATAAAGATTTATCTAGTCACTGTAGTTGTTAGCTATTTGCGCCAGCGGTCGTAGTTTAGAATTCACATTTAGAGCTAAATTATGGACCAACTGGTAAGTGTCTGGTTGTTACCCAGCAGGTACTTTCTATTATCTAGAGCATAGAAAGTACCTGCTAGGTAACAACCACACGTTTATCAGTCAATCCATAAAATGGTCCTTATGATGAAAAATATCGCTGCATACGTCATCACTGGTACGTGGTGGGAGCCGTACAGACCTTATGAGGATAGGCTATCTTGTGTAGTGTGCCACGTTGCGTTGACATGCAAATTTCGTAACAATTTGGCAACCAAATTGGAGAGGATACACCGGTGGTGGATTCCTCTCCTAGATGTTGGGACAAAAAAATTTGTTTATTTACTCATACATGTAATGTTGACTTTACTGACTTTTAAAAAGTTCGAAAATGTCACTTTTTTTACTTTTACTTTCGGCCCCGGCCCACGGGTCGAGACCCGCGGACCGAAAGTAAATGAAATTTTTAAAATTTATTGTATTTTTTGACTTTTACTTTCGGCCCACGGGTCGAAAGTAAATGAAATTGTTAATTATTGTATTTTTTAGCTTTAATCCAAATGAAAATTTCAAAATTCGAATGATTGTAAATAAAATAGTATACATACCTCGGTGAAAAGTTTCATTACTGTCTCGAGATTTTAGTTAGACCTCGGCAGCGCCTCGGTCTAACTTAAATCTCTCGACAGTAATGAAACACTTTCCACCTCGGTATGTAATATACTACTACTGTAATGTCTATCTGTGTTAATATGTCATTGGTGCGTACCAATCTACCAATGACATATTAACACAGACAGAAATTTTAGTTATAAAAATTTTTGTCGCCAGCATCTTGGAGAGTGATCCACCTCCAGTGTATCCCCTCCACACGCTGCAATCGATTGGCATGTTAACGAGCCTATCAAATTTATATCACATGAGTTAGAGGCAGACAGATAGATAAATGAGTTGCACAAGTGCTCATTTCATCATTATTTTGGTCAAGTGAATCACAGGTTCAGAGTCTTGTTTACACCACTGATGCATCCCTACCATAACCTCCCCCCCCCCGAGCAGCTCAGCTCTCCTGGCCCAGGGATGGTCGTCATCACAACAAACATCAGATTATAAATGAGATGTGGTGTCTATCTGTGTTAAGATGTCATTGGTTACTCAATATAATAATTATTATGCATCAGTGCGGAAATATTACTTTTTTGTGAAACTCTGGCTATAATACATACGCTTATATCAAGTGGTCATTTTATTTTAAAAAAAAAATAATGTTGAGATCTCTATTTTGTAAAACTTAAAACTCATCTCGAAAAATGAAAAAAATATAAAATAAACTAAATAAATAAAATTAACAAAATAAAGTTTGGTAAAAATCTACATGCCATTCATGCCAAAAATCATCTTGAGATCTTCCAAAGATAGTTTGTTCTGGACCACCTGTCTTGTACCAGTTAAAATACCTTCGGCCAATGCCAGTTTTTTGTCTTGCAATGCTTTAATTCTTTCTTCGATGGTATTAATTGCAATAAATCTAGAAATAAAGATAACATTGAAAAATTTAGCAACCAAAACTATGTATAGGGTAGTCTCATTTGAACACTTGTAAATTAGGAAATATCAATTTCTGTGTGAGATACAAGTGTCCAAACTGGACCACCCTGTACATGGCAAATACTGTTGATATAATGTCTACTTGTATAAAATTATATTCCATTTAAATTCAAATAAAAAAATTGTATAGTTACTTGTAGACAAAAACAGCTTTTTGCTGTCCGACTCTGTAGATTCTATCTTGTGCTTGATTTTCTAACTGGGGATTCCAATGTAAGTCCAGTAAAAATAAATGATTTGCCCCTACTAAGTTAAGACCGACACCTCCTGCAGTGAGAGATAACAGTAAGATCTAAAATAGAAAGGTGTTGCAGCAAAAGTTGGAATTTTCTCAAAAGAATTATTTACCTTCATGGAATTTTTAGGATCATTAAATCGATTAACCATATCCATACGTTTAGGAACAGGCACTTTACCATCGAGTTGATCAAACTCTACACCATATTCTTTCAAATGTACAGCCAACAAATTTAAATATGACGACCATTGAGATACGATTATTGCTTTGTCCTCAGTCTCTAATACTTTTTCATGTAATACTTTTAACATTGCTTTGATCTGTAATAAAAATAGAATTATCTTATTATAATATTCACAGAATAAATATTTCTGTTACCTTGCTGCTAGGTCTGTCCTTAGCAAAAACTGGATCTGAAGGCTTTAAATGCCCTCTGGTAGCTTCCTTTAAATTAACTTTGACAGATGTATTAATGTTTGCTGTTGCACCATCATTTTCTTTCTCAGGTTTGTATACATCCATTTCTTCTTCTTCATCCTCGATTTTCAAATTATTCAGTTGTTCCAAAATATTTAGCTCATCAGCAGATTCTTCATCATCATTACCAAGATCTTCGTTAGTTTCTTGAAGCATCTAAAGAAAAGAAAACATCAGAAATTGTTTGTAAAGGTTTATTGTTAGTAAGTACTTACAGAAGTAATTAAAGATGGGTGGCAACATATTTGGCGCAGCCGCAATAGCAAAACTAAAATTTCGTGTTGGCTAACATTTTTTACTTTATTGAGTTTCAGTAGTTTTTTTCTCATTTTGAAATATTCTTGGTTGGCTTCATTACCTGGAACAAATTCACTGTGTTTTAAAATACATAATTTAATAAGAAAATTCTTACTTGGCAAACTGGTAAATGCTTCTTCTTTCAAATAAATATCCTGATTCTTGTCAGCCCTCTGGTGCAAAAACTGAGCAAATAAAGTTTGTGAAAAAATCAAAATTTTGTGATAAACTTGCATTTCGTGCGAGTCCAATTCAACATCAATCAGTTGCCACTCTTTTTTGGGCATGCAATTTAAGGTGCCTTTTTCCATTAGTTCAACTTTGGTTCTTCTCAGCATCAAGGAAGAAATTACTGTGTGTAGACGTTCACTACCGCCTTGGGATTTATCTGCTACCCAACGTTTCCATACCTAAAAGAATTGGATCGGGTGTTTTAGTGTGAATAAATATTGAATTCAGATAAATTTACCTGTAGATCATCGAAAGGTGAACAACGCAAAAATTTAAGGTAAGCATACATATCCAATTCTTTATTGTGCATGGGAGTTCCTGTCAGTGCCCACCTAGAAGAGAGAATCCAATATAAGAAGAAGGAATCCTAGAAACCATTCTGGCTTCTTGAAGATATTAAACCATTACATACAACGTACAAATAACTGCTCAACACAACAGTAAAAAACATGAAGAAAGAAGTTACATTATCAAGTCCTTATGAATAAATTTTTGGAATATCTATACAATAACTGAAGCTTGTAGCATACAAGATTTCACCATAGAGATTTTGAAACAATAAAATTTTACCTTGATTTGGCTGATAACCGACAACAAGCCTCTGAAGTCTGAGCTTTATAATTCCTAATTTGATGGGCCTCGTCCAAAACTATCCTTCTCCATTTGACTCGGAACAAAGTACTATTTTTGTCACATTCGTTGTTTACAATCGCGTAAGTTGTGATCACCTAAAATGTCAATTTTAATTCGTTGTAGGTAGCTAAATTTTTTAATACTACATACCACATCATATTTTGCCAGGTTTTTAGGAATGGTTTCACGTTTAGGACCGTGATAAACGTTGTACGAGATCAAACCGCGTTTCAATCGACGATCTATTTCGCCAGACCATTGGTTTAATAAACTTGCTGGGCACACTATCAGACTTCCTGTAAAAAAAAATATATTCAAAACTTGAACCAATCAAATTGAAATAATTATTACCTCCTTCAACTTTGGAACCTTTCCGCATAAATGTCTGTTTATTCTCTTCATCTGAATCCTCATCTTGGTTTTCTATTGTTAAAACTTTGACTATTAAAGAGATCATGGTCAATGTTTTGCCTAGACCCATATCATCTGCTAATATTCCTCCTGATGGTTTTTCCTTTTCTCTATTAAAAAAACACAAAATTGAAAACAAATCTTTATAGAAATAGATAGAATGAAAGTTTAAAGCAAATCAAATAAACTGCTTTTCAAGATCACTGGAGAAGCTAGATGTTAGGGCAAATACTGGTTTTATTAAAGGGGGATTTCCCCAATCTGAACAATTTTGATTTAGAAAATCAAAATATCAATGACAAAAATACTTACCTAAACATTAACCAGGCCAATGCTCTCCGTTGGTGAGCCATCAAATCAACTTTTAATCCCCTTGGATCTTCTGCAAAATCATCGTCCTTAGGACAAGTCTCTAGTGCTCCATGCAGTTGTTGAAGTCTGTCCATTGTAACAGCTTTTTGAGCATTATAAGTTGACAAAGCTAGAAACAGAAAATGTGTATTTATACAAGAGATTTGATAGTTTGAGAAAATTCTTACCTTGTTTTCCAAAAGTTTTTGGTTGAACAGCATTGGCGCCAGCTTGTAAGTCTGCCCAAGGAAGAAGTGGTGCCTGTGCAACAATTGGGTTTTTCTTGTCATTTTCAGATTCCGGTAATCGTTTCATAGACTTAAATTTTTTATTCTCCTCTAGTAGTTCCTGTTTGGCGTCACTAAAAAAAGATAATTTGCAATTACTACTTATATGGGAATATATGAAAAACCTTGACAGTTGGTTGCTTACTTCAATTTCCTTGTTATCAGCTCTCCCTTATCTGGCAAAGAATTAACATTCAAACTCTCCATTATCTTTTGTAGCTTTTCATATTCAATGTTCAAATTATCCACTTTAGACCATTGATTTTCGTATATAGAATTAGACACCATATATACAAGGGGATCTTCTGACTCCTGTTTTGCTCGCAAAGGTTGTGGGCTTTGTTCTACAAATTGGTTGAGGGTTTGTTGACGGACAACCGGCGGTTTGAGTCGCTTGAAGGGGGATGCTTTCAGTGGACTTATTTCCCGACTGCTGACCTATAAAAATATAATTTTCTTTGAGCAAAAATTACAGATTGGGCGTAGACTTGCCTCTATAATTTCATCGCTATCATTTTCTAGTATTTCAAAGCTCGTTTTTTCTGGAGATTCTTCCATTTCATTGTTGATGCAAGTACTGTTGAGAATTCCTATACAAAAGAAACATGATAGAATAATTTTTTCTCTGTAGTGAAAATATTTCAAATGAACTTACCTTCAGTATTAAATTGGAACTGTTCAGTCATCCTATTATTTTTAAATTTACTGGAGAGATTCAATAAGTCACTATTTGATTGGATCCCTAATGTAGTTCTATCATTGCTACTGCGTTTTTTTGTTGCGTTGGATAACTGAAACATAAATAAACCATTCAAATAACGAATATCCTAGAATATTGATTTATTTAAATTATAAGTTATTAAAATTGTCACATTAAAGTACCTTATTGTAAATTTTATAATATACTACCTACCACTATAAAAAACCTAGGCAAGAAGAGGTTCAGTAAACCCTGCAAATTGTTTATCTATGAAAACTTTTATAATTATTTTAATACAATTTTTACCGATTAGATTTGTATCCAAAGAAGTTTTTGTAATAGTGGTGTCTCATGCTCTCACTGACAATGACAGTGCTATAATTATAATTATAATTGGATTTAGTATTAGTATTAGTACTGTAAATTGGTTTAGGTCTTTAAGCTTTTAATATAAGTACCTAAGTATGGGCAATTCTTCCTTTTTCTGGGAACATTGTTGATATAATTAATAATAACTTGTGTCCTATAATTTTAAAACCCATAAGACACATACAGATACATATGTATCTAGGTGTCCTTTTCTTTTTCTACACAAATTATATTATATTAAAAACGATAATGATGTAATAGATAATAATTATGGCCTTTTTCCTCTCCTGCTATTGTAGGCATGTAGGTAATTTGTAATATTGTAATCTGGTTTGTAATTAATTATTGTTAATTTGCTGTTGAAAATAAATTGAAATTGAAATTAAATTGAAATTACAAATTACAAGTCTGTAGTTCATTGATGGGTCATCGTGTCCTCTTTTTTCAGAATCTAACCCGATTGGTCTTGTCTATAAGAAAATGAAAACCAAATGAATGAATAATCATGTGTGCTTACAACTATTTTGTTCCAAAGTATAAATGGTACTTCAATAGGTTTTAAAAAAATATATTTGGTCCCTATACAGATTACTTTAAGTATACTTTTCATGTTCTTCAAATATTTACCTCTAACTCCTGGGTTGCACTTATATCTGGTGTAACATCTGCATGTTCGAAATCCTCTGCAACTTCCGAATCCTCCTTGTTTTCTGAACTAGACTCAGATTCCTAATTGAAAAAAGATCAGATTATTATGATATTTTTCATGGAAAAGCTATTACAAAATCTGCAGTAAACTGGAAAAAAGATTTCTTTTTTTGGCAGTACTGCATTACCCAAGTTAAATTGAGTTATATATGTATCTCATTAACATTAGTCTGATCATTCTACATCAGTATCTGAATCTGATGTATTCAAATATGTATCTGTTGTCTTAAATGGTCTTTCATTAAGTTCGAAAAAAATTCATGTTCCGCAAATATTTACCTCTAACTCCTGGGCTGCACTTATATCTGGTGTAACATCTGCATGTTCGAAATCCTCGGCAACTTCTGAATCCTCCTTGTTATCTGAATTAGACTCAGATTCCTAATTAAAAAAAGATCAGATTGATATATTTTTTCTTTACAAAATCGAATTTGAATTGAGTTATATATGTACCTCATTGACATTAGTCTGATCTTTATCTGATTCTACATCAGTATCCGAATCTGATATATTTGAGTGTCTATCTGTTGTGTTCCGACTTTGCCTGAGAGATGTTAGGTTAGCAGTTGAAGCTTCTACCTCGGCTTCTACATCAGAATCTGAATCCGTCAAGGCCAAGGGCCTGGCCTGCAAAAACAATAAATTATAAACTACTCTGAAAAGATTACTCAGTAAAAATGATAATTCAATGAAAGTGTTCATATTTGAGCTGCTATAAAAATTTCTCTCGTGTAATTGACTGCACTGAAACATTAAGAATCAAGCTACAATACTTACTCTTTTTTGCTTGATGGGAAAGACACCACTTTCTCGGACTTCTCTGGACTTCCTGGAAAAATGTGCCTCTGTTAAATCTGGGTCTGTTTCTGATGACTCGTCTCCCGACTCCTGTATTACTTCATCTACAATAAAATCATTATGCGGACTTGTATAAAATGTAGAATAACGACTTACCGCTATCAATTTGGTCCCGTTTTGTTGTTCTCTTGTAGGAACTATCTTCCTCGTCTATATAGAAACAAACAGAAATTTAATGCACAAAACTACATGTGTATAAAAAAGGTTTTTACCTGATGATAGCAACTCACTGTCACTGAAATTGCTATGACTCATTTTTTTCGTTTAGGATCATTCAGTTGAAGGGTAAAATAGGTAAAATATTATAAATTTGCAAAAGATTTTGCCTTTTGTCTTGAGTTGCAGCTAGAATCAAAATCCCAAAGAGGAACCGTTTTCTAACTGTTATTTTTTTTTGGCTTTGAAATTGACAACTACGTCAACCACTGGCATTTGACGTAATATTCTATTTTAGCATTTGACTTATGTCAATACCTTGGGTACGTTCGAAAACCACGCGTTATCAGAGTTGCTTTCAGGTGCCACCCTTTCAGCGCTCCCGAGTTACTCCGAAGTACTCCGGCTACGGTTTGACCCGTTTGCTTTCAAGCGTTCGAGTGCAAAACGCATGGAGTATGACAAGTCACTGACAAGTGTGAAGTGTTCTAGGGGCACCCGAAAGCGGCACTGGATCCAATGAATCTGGGATTCAATGAACTGATTTATTTGTTCCTCCTTCCATCAAGAGCAACACATCTAAATAGTTCTTGAACCCATTTGTGGATTGGCAATATTGGCAATGAACTGGACAAGTGTTATAGCATAGCTCTTTCAACGTTTGCCTCAGAACTCCCGATTCATCAAAAAGCGATCCGGAACGGATTTAAATGTTTGGCTTAAAACAGAGCGATGTTCTCAGCGGGATTTACGTGTTCGACTTGAGCAATGGACAAATGGAACGCTAGCAAATCTCGCACAGAACGCTCATTCTTGCTCCGTCAAATGCAATGGATGAATAAAGTACGTTCGGCTATTGATTTCAAATGGTGTATTTACCCTTGTTTGGATTTCAATCGCTCTCGGAACACTCCTGCAGTGAGAGGTTTGTGACATCACCGCCCAGACGGGAAGCGCTCTGGGAACAGTACAGCTGTTTATGTTTATATTTTATGTTCAACCTGCACTTGGTTATTTAAATAAGACACACTCACTCAGTTCAAGAAAGTTTTACATTTTCGATTTGGATGTGGCGGGCACCCAACACTCTTTCTGCTATCGCTTTCGACTTTTGCCTCAAAACTTCTCGCGATTGATCAAAAAGCAATCCGAAACGGATTCACATGTTTGGCTTAAAACGAAGCGCTGCTTTCAGCGACATTCGAGTTCGACTCGAGCAATGGAATGCTCTCGAATCTGGTACGGAGCGCTCTTTCTTGCACCGTCAAATTTGGTTTGGGTTACAATCGAGCACATACCTTGATTTCGCTCTCTATTCCCGAATTCCGAATCGGCAGAGCATGCGAGTTACTTCACCACTATCAGCAGCATAGCAGCTTATAGTGGTGACGTCACTCACAGGCCTCGATGGGATGTTTGCAATTCAGGTTGTGCTTGTTTTTTCGTCAATTTTAAAAGTGGAAAATGAAAAAGTGATTTTGACAAGTAATTAATGTTTAGAAATTCGGTTTTTAACCTATGCTGTTTTAAACTCAGCTAATGAATGACCTAATATTTTTTATTTAAAATCTCCCTTTGGCTGAGTTCGGCTTTACACTTTAGCTGGGTTCAGTTCGGGTATTCAGCATGGAGTTGGAGTGGAGTAAAGCCGGAGTCTCATGCATCCGTTTTCCGACGAAAGATGTCCGAAAAACCTGCTATTCTGACATAATCGTATACAAATATGTCAAAATAGAACGTTTTTCGGACATCTTGCGTCGGAAAACGGATGCATGCGACTCTGGCCTAAAGCCTAGTACTCATAACTGCGAAATTCGCTTTTTTTTTGACATTGCATCGACAATTTGACGTTAAATGCGTGAATCAAACGTCAAATTGTCAAAGCAATGTCAAAAAATAGCGAATTTCGCTGTTATGAGTACTAGGCTTTAGAACAGATCTTTGTCACGTGATCTAGAAGTGATTAGAGTGAAAAATTAATACACGAACGGCCGGAACGGTCGGAGCAAAAATGTCACACAGCTGATTTGTTTTGTTTAGAAACAACAGTAACCGTGACTTTACAACGTTCCAGTTTCCATTTTTTTTAAATATTTGTCTTTAATTTTCGTGTCATATAAATTAACTTTAATTCCTCCACAATAATTTAATAATATGATGCTTTTTTTCACAACAACCACAACGAGACAACGCAACAAGCTTGACAGTTTCTATATCTCACTTCTTTCTACGCATGCTTAGGGAGGATTTTCATGCATCCCTTTTTCCGTCGAAATATGTCCGTTTAACATTCTATTCTGACATATTTATATACGATTATGTCAGAATAGAATGTTAAACGGACATATTTCGACGGAAAAACGGATGAATGAAAATCCTCCCTTACTCTAAAAAATTCTCTTTCCGAACTTTTGGAGTGAACTCCATTTACTCTACTCCGTATAGTCGAACGCTAATGGAGTCACCCCTAATACGCCTAAAAGCAATAACCGAACTGCTGGAGTGAGAATGGAGTCACTCGGAGTGAGCAAGCCGAACCCACCTTCTGTAAACTCTGAGCGCGCTCGAAACTATAAGATCCTGTTCGTTTTAGCTCTCAGAGTGTTCTTTTTTGCGTTGGGCTTATGACCGCGTATGACGTCACGATATCCATGCTCATATTTACCAATCTGCTCTAGAGCACTCCACTAGTGGAGTGCAAACTGCAAAAGCCAAACTTGCCTTTATTGCCTCAGAATGGTTACATCGAACATATATCCTGTTCACAATCCGATGTCCACGGTCCACAGGTACAGGTAAATTTATCACCTTCCCCTATCAAATAGTATTGAATGGTGATAAATTTTACCTGTACCTGTGGACATCGGTTTGTGAACGGATAATAGATAAATAGATAGATGTCGCCTCTTGTTACAAAACTAAACTACATATAACCTCACTTTTTTGAGGACAATTTTCAATTTTTTCAAAATATCGTGTTGTTTCAAATTTTAAATTAAACAAAAAATAACAAATTTATCAGTAAGGAAGTTTAATTAACAATATGGAAAGCCGAGAATTCCTTCTTACGTCGTCCCAAGACTGTCAACAAAATTCGGCATGCCTGTGGGACTACACCACCAAAAATGCATTGAAAATCTACAGGAACGGAGGCGTCGTGCCTCCGAAGTCTTTAGCAGTGATAGGAGAAGATTACATTCTTACTTCGGAAGCTGCAAAACCTCTATTGCACGTGTGGCCTTTGAATAGTCAAGAAATCGACAAAAATATTCGGTAAGTTAGTTGTATGCTTACCTAAGTTTTAACATTTCAATAATTGTATCAATATGGAAAAAGCATGTGACATTATTTAGAAATAGGCAGTAAAATATGAATGTAAAAAATCACAAAAGTATCTTTACACTTTCTCTTTTTCCAGACTTATATTACCAGGTCCAGCTACATGTCTAGCTATATGCCCCCAAAATACATACATAGTTATAGCAATATCAACAAAACTCTATGTTTGGCAGCTAAGTTCTGGAAAACTTCTTTCTGTACAAAAAAAACATTATCAACCAATAACGTGCATTAAATTTTCCAGCGACAGCGAATATGTCGCTCTAGGAGGAGAAGATGGAATTTTGGTAATTGATTTAATAATACCAATTTCAAATAATTAAATTCAATAATTATTTTAGATAGTCTATTTCCTAGCTGATTTGGTTGCAATTCATCATAGTTTATTAAGCCAAAGTAGCATTGGAGAAGTAGAACCAGTTTACACAAAAAATGACCACAGTATGTCTATACGAGACATACATATAGGTACATTTGGTAAAAATGCAAGATTAGCCACTTGTTCATCAGATTTTACAGCCAATATATATAATTTATTCAGCGGAGACATCCTCCTCACCATCGTTTTTAATCAAGCTTTCACAAGTGTCCTAATTGACTCTCCTTGCTGGAATCTTTATTTGGGCTCCAATTCAGGGCTTGTCAAACAATTCGATTTAAAGAAACCTCCAAGAACTTTAACCGTACATGTAGAAAATACTGCTAGCAAAGACTTTATTGGCCATGAAGGCAAAATTGTCGCCATGGGATTAAATTTCACAAATCAAATTTTAGCCACAGGCGGTGAAGACGGTTTCGTCTACACCTGGGAAATAACAAGCAGGCAAATACTGCAAAAATTCGAACACAAAGCTGCAATAACAAATCTTCAATTTGTACAAAATTATGCTAATTTTTTCGAGCAAAATTTCAAGCCTATAATTGCCATTAAACCTTTGGAACGAAGCGTGGAGCAAGATTCTGATGATTTCACAGTGGCCATAATTCAAAAGACGGACATAGATTTTTCAGACGATGAAAATAGTGTGGAAAAAGAAATGTCGAGAGAAAAACTTGAAGAAGAAAACGTGAAATTGCGAATTGCTAATGCTCAATTGTTCAGGGCGGCATTGGAGATAAGCAGGAAATATAACTGCTGATTTTGTTTTTGTTTCATCACTCACCTACTGAAGAATTTGTTTTTTTTTTTTTTTTTATAATAAGTATGTATTTTCTTTGCAATAATAAAGGCAACATTTATAATTGAATTATAATCTTTTATTTGTAAAAATTAAGGCGTTATAAATATGCAATAATACCTAATACCTTGAATTTAATTGCATTATGATTATTATTAAAAAGTAATTTATTTTTTTACAAGTTGAGGCTTGAAATCTTGTTCTAAAACTTTCGGGAGTAGTTCGGCATACATATCCAATCTTTGAGTCATCTAGAAAAAACGATTTTTTCTATTTTGTCAAACAAATTCTGTAAGTGGTATGCTACCTGAAATCCCCAATGATCCTTGACTTGACGGCACATGTTCAGATCTATTGCCGTGACTAAAAGGCCATTTTTTGTTCTTGACAAACCCTAAAAAAATATTGCTTTTTCTATTTAAATTGCAACTAATTATTGCTGGAATCAGCCTAATTGTCTTAATTGATCTTTTTATAGTGCATATTATTGTGTCTTACCGGAGTTCTAGATCCATTAGGCGCAGCAACATAACTAGACCCGTAAAAATGACCGAAATCTTTGTGAGCAGGTTTTCCATTGCCAGAGGTGAATTCGTGCTCGAAAACTTCTGTGCCTACTCGGTTAATGGCACAAGTGAAGTACCCATTGGCTATAGCTGCGTTTCTCGCTTCTATACCCCAGAGCGGCTCACTTAAGGCACCAACCTGGAATAATAGTACTTTTTTTTCAAAATTTATAAAGCTAAAGTAAGCAGTTAAAATGGAAAAATTGAAATAACTTCTGGAGTATTGCTAATATGTAGGCGACAGTGTTAATTGGTAAAAATTATTTGATATTTTCATTGGTCTTTATTCAGAATAACTTGCTTTATGCTAGAAACAAGTATTTTCTTTCATTAAATCTTATATCATCAATAAAAATTATTCTGCAGTTTGGAAACTGTAGGAAAGAAAACATAAAATTATTCAATGCTCCCTATACAGGGTGTTACAAATTCGCGAATAAGTATGGGGATCTCGGTAATATATAAGAGATACAGGGTGGGTTAAATTTGGGCAAAGTTAGGCAATTTCTAAATGCCGTAACACCCTGTATTGTCTAAAGTATCTAACCACTAAAATTGCAATAGTCAAGATGTCTATTACACTGATGTGATGTTTTGTATACTTACTGTTGCTGAAGGATTAAACACAATTTCTGCTCCATTAAGGCCAAAACCGAGCCAATTTAACGGGTGGTGTCGGCCGTAACAAATATTTATTGCTATTTTACCGAATTCAGTCTAAAAATTTAAATTAGAACACATAATATGGTAAATTTTCAAATAGCTCACATCAAACACTGGATGTCCAGTGTTTCCTTCAAAATAATAAGTAGATTCGTTGAAGTCTCCCACTCTGGGTATATGATTTTTCCTGTGCTTTCCTAAATAATCACCGTGATTATCAATCACCACGGCACTGTTCCAGATTGTATCGGAGTGCGTTTCATCTCTTTCCAATATAGGCGAAATAATCACCATGTTGTGTTGTTTTGCCAGCTTAAAAATAAACAATAACGACACCAGAATTAAGAATTGAAGCTTTTCCTACCTCCTGCAAAAATTTAGTGGTAGGTCCATGTTGAGCCGACTCAGCATATTCGCACCAGGGATATTTTTCTCTGGTGCAAAACGCAAATGGCATGTCTATAAAAAATTATATCGACTCAAAAACTATTAGAAAAAAATTAATAATTCTTACGCCAAGCTTCCTGGAAGCAGAAAACGTTTGTATCCAATTGGGCAGCAGCATCCACAGCTTCTTTTGCCATTTTGAACATTGCATCTTTCATGTCTTGTATTCTTGAAGTAGCCGGAAGTGGAAGTTCATTCTTAAACAAATAATATGAATTTGCTAAATTAACTAGTTGGTAAGATATTCCCCCGGTGTTTAGCTTTTAGTGCAAATCAATTTCTCCTTATTATAACTTCTAAAGTTACAAGAGGCTGCCGGCAGGGAGGTGTGCTATCACCTCTCCTGTGGAACATGGTTCTGGACAGCCTCATTGTCTGCCTAAACAATAACAACCACTATACAACAATAGCTTACGCAGATGACGTAGTCATCTTGCATAGAGGTAAATCGCATCTCAGTACCACACCCTTGTGTAGGGCTTGTAATCGAGAAGACGAGACTATAGAGCACATTTTCTGTGACTGTACTGCTCTTTCGAGTCTTTCGTCAATACACAGAGCCAGATTAAGCCAATCGTACCCATCACTAGAAGAGTTTAGAGGCACCGCCCTCTGCGACGTCATCGCTAGGCAGGATGACCTCTCCTCTTGTGGAGGCAAACAATGAGCCTAATGTGGCCTAAGTGCTGTAGCATACTACCCTTCCAAACTTACCGATACAGAACTTTTAAAGTTGATATAACTACTATTGGGAGGCAATGATCAGGATTATTCATAAAAGATTATAAGGATATAGAAAAAAGTACCTAGGTAAAATAAAACAGCTCTCAGGTACCAGGAGTATGATTTTTTGATTTTTTGCAGAGAGAGAAAGATTGAAGAGACCCAAAGTTGTACTGAACTCAAGAGTTGGACAAACTGTTCAGACTTCAGAACGAACAAGTTAAAATGTTTCACATTCATAGCAAAATAGTTTCTATGTTGTCAAGTTTTTTGTATAAAATGAAAGCATTTGAAGATATTGAGAATTTTGAGCTTTACATGTATCAATGAAGTCTGTAAAAATATTAAATGTTATAGTTTGTAATTTACCAAATATTCTTTCAGCAAAGATAAATTTTTACCTGAAAAAGTCCAATTCTAACAAACCTAGGGCTGCGCAGCTGTTCTTCAGGACACGGAATAGCATAGGCTTTGATTTCAAAATTGTTTTTCCTTCCGACATTTTCGGCTGTAGGTGGTATCACCAAACCGCTAAAAAAACTGAAATTTTCAAAGAGAATTTACATATTTGATGTCCACTTACACAACAGATCGTCCGTACAAAATTTGCCTAACTTTTTCATATTCTTCCCCTTGAAGGTTTCTGTCTAGAATTTCTTCAATGCTATCAAATTCTTTAGTACCCGACATGTTAAATGCTTTAATCTAATGTGGAAAAAAAAAAAAAATGGTGTTGAAACAAGTACAATTATTGTTATCAGTCTTATTAATGTATTATGCAAATATTTAAAAACGAAAAAGATAATTACAATCAGCAACAATAATTTGTTTGTTGTTTATAGTCAGTATTATAAATAATTTATAACTCACCTGTAATTTCAAATATAAAAACTATGCACCACAAAATCAGAAGACACTACAATGAAAATATTAAACTAAAACTGCCTTATCAGACATACAATAACAACTATTAATGATAAACAATGCATGAGTAAGTACCTACTTACATCACAATGGTTTATCAAACCGGGCTTTGTTTTCAAATTATTGTATTAATTTTACGACCTAATTAATTTTATGAAACGTTGAACTGAGTGCTTTTGGCGTCAACTCGAGTTAGTTTCCATAATCAAATGCCTGTATTAATATTTTTTCTAGACGGAAAGCGTATCTAAATATAATCGAGTGTCTATATTTATACCCTTTACAGCAAACATGTGCTTCAATATTTTTGATTCGATTTGTGAATTTGGGATTCGATTTCATATAGTTATGAAATAAATATTTATCCTGTAAGTACAAACAGGGATAAAGTTTTATCTTATTCTAATAATAACCAAGAAAATAATGATGATGTAGGCAGAATCCATCCTTTGATGTACATTATATGGTGTCAGCATTAGGTTTTTCATATTCAAGGATAATCAAAACAAGTTAAACATAGAAGGGCATTTATTTAGAAAGAAATACATATTCATTCAAAAAAAAGATCATAGATTAGGCTTGCCTTGAAATGATGCAACAATTATAAGCTAATAAATAAATAAGTAGAAAAGAAAGACTAATTCAAGAAAATTTTTAAAAAAATGTAATTTTCGAACTTTGTCATAATTTAAATCCAAAACGAAAGAAATTATTTTTTTTACAACCTAAAAGCTATCACATTCTTAGCACATCTTTGGCAAAACTGAGAAAGTAATCCGTCTTTTTCAAATACTTTTTGAGTTTTTCTTTGGTTTCATACTGAACTGTTGGAAACTGATCATTCGGGAACTGTTTACTGAAAGCTAAAAAACAAATTATTTATAATAATTATTGCTTATATTGCATATTATACCTCCAGTGGCCTTTGCTTGTTCCACAGGTTTCTGAGACTCTCTAAGTAAAATTTGGAAGTCGGACAAGGCACAAAGCACATAAAAAGTTTTATCTTGAGTATTAGGCCCTTTAAGTATCTTCGCTATATCATCCCTCATTAAATCAAGATTTTCCGAGTCTGTGATTATCCATTCGCACTAAAAAAATTACAATCAATATTTTTCTACTACAAACTATTACTACTTACATTGATACATTCTTGTTCTACACTCTTGACAGCAGTTTCAAAGTTTTCAAAGTTCTGTCCCTTTTTCAAGGCCAAAGATAAGGTAGCGATGGTAGCTACTGCTTCGTTGGAAAAATCATGATGTTCGCCATTGAAATATCTTGCGGTGAAAGCATAGGCACTGAGCAAGTTGATTAAATTGTATTTTACGCAGTTGGCTGGTACTTTAGTCTGGCAACAATAATAATGATTATTAATTCAAATTCAAAAAAGCTTTAATAAGTACAAAGTACTCATTGATTTTCCTAACAGGAAATGTTGTGTGAAAATGTTGCATTCGTTTATTTATTCTAGCAATTATTTATGCAAACACTATCAATTCATGAAAATATGAAATGAGCTTTTGTCCAATTTTTTTCGAAACATAAATTTTGCAAGTTTATTAGGAAGCTGTAAATTTGACCAATGAGAACAACTTTTAATCATTAGTTCTCCTAGATAATAAATTTGATTCCCAAAAAAATTACTAACCGTCACACTAGAAAAATCCTTAATATCTCCAAGTTTAGGACATGAATTTTTAAAATCGTCACTGGCATCAACTTCTGTTACTTTATTATTCTCGCAGTACAACCACCAAGGTTCCCAAGATGGTATCAGCTTGGATAAATCTTCAGTCCTAGTACAAAGTTGCATTAGCAAACTGATTTCTTTGCCGGAAAGTAACTTACTTCAAAAAAGCCACAAAATCTTGTCTTTCATCTTCAGTGAGTTTTCCCCACACCTTCTCTGGATCATCCAAATTAACTCCTTGAAGCCTCTCAGTTATATCAATGCATTCGTCGTCATCTGAATCAAGATCCTCTTCCAAATCTTCAATATCAACAAACTGAGAAAAAGGCCCGAGATTTCCTAGACCAATACCATCTAGATCTACATCACTGAAATGAAATTTATGATAATAAAAAAACAAAAAATCAACTTGTACTTATATACCTGTCTGAATCATTTTCATTATAATCATTATAATCAAAATAACCTGATGGCGATGGGATTCTATTATTTTCATGAGTCCTTTGCAAAATTTCCAACATTTTTGCTTTTGAATCGGGAGCGTTGGGCTCCAAATTCAATTCCGCCATCACGTTGTCTTGGTAGAAGTGTTCTGAACAATCTAAATGGCTCATTGCTTGGTAGCATGTCAACGAGCAGTAGATTTTGTTGCATCTTGGACAGGAGTATTTTGCTAAGGCATTATCACATCTAGGAGGAAATATTATAAATAAAATTATGCTTTTTAATCAGGTGAATTGTTATTTAACTGGAAAAAGGCTATTTTGTGCAAATTTAAAACACCTTATTCAGTTACAAAGCATTAAGCCTTGAGGTTTTATAATTTTAATATGGTTTTGGATGATCCATATATTAGAGTAACATCTTTAATTTATGTTATGGAAGCTTTTCTTGTGTTATTTGTAAAATTTCGGTTTACACGAAATGCTTTCCAATTTTTGTACACAAGAATAAATGAACAGCCTGTAATAAGTAGATAATAAACTTGAATTGGAAGATAATTGGCTTAATAGTGGGTAATTAATGGATGAGGTAGGGGGAAATTGGATTTTGGTAATACTGTTTAAAAATTTGAGAGAAACTACTTTACTCTAGTGATTATTGAGGTAATGGTGCATTAGCACACAGGTCAGGATGGCTGATTTTATCATATTGGGTGTTTATTTAGCAACTAACATATTTGTATTAGAAGAAGCTTTCAACCTCTATTAATATTTGACTTTTTAGTACTGGATGTTCAACTGAAAAAGTCCCAGATTCCAGCTGCTATCTGCTACATTTCTTTCACCTATTTTCGCAATTAATAATCATCTCAGGTAATCTAGTACTTACATTTTGCATGTGTTGGTTTCATCTAACTCTATAATTTTTGCACTAGCCATTTTTGCCAAATAGCAAATAAATGCTAATTATTTTTCTAAAAATACAAATCCCTCAAATAAATAATTCTAAAAATTTTGAGTTTGACAATGACAGTTGTCTAAAGACTGAGAATGGAGTACGTTCGATAATCAGAGCGTGTTTGGGTTAATGCTCGATGGAGTGAGTGGAGTAACTTTGGAGCATCGTGTCCAAAGTGAACCGTTTAGTTCGCCGATCTATTATTTTCGTGAGTATTAGTTGCTTTTGTATTTACTGGACTGAAGAAAATAGATATGTTCATGGAGCGATAGCAGTGAGAATAAGACTGGCAAAGAACTTACAAAAGTCAACGACAATAGGTTGCTCCAACTCCATTTCTTAAAACCGTTCTGAAATGGTTTACAAGTTTACGCAGGTGCAAGCTTTGCACTGTTCCGGAACTATTCTAGGATTGAACATCGGTTGAAACGGTTTCAGGGGTTTTGAGGTCTCTTACACAAGAGCTCATTCTCCGTTGACATGAGACTTTAACCAATGACATTTCGTCTGTGACGTCATGAGTTTGAACAGTGGCTAAATAAACCTTTACAATCTTTACATACAGTGGCGACAATAGAGGTCCCGCCGCCATCTTGTTCCCAACCTCTTGTTACTTTTAAATATTAATTTATAGGATTTAAATGGACATCTATCATAAAAAATTGAAATCGACGTATTTGATGACCATTATTAGGTCCATCAAATACGTTGTTTTCCATGATTTATGATGGATGTTCACCTAAATTCCATATAATCATATTTAAAGGTAACAGGAGGTTGGGAACAAGATGGCGGCGTTTTCAATATAAATATATGGGATTTTAGAACCAATCAAAAAGACAGCAATTGTCGCCACTGTGGGAATAGAGTCACTGTAGCTATTGCTGTAGCTAGAAGTTGCATCCATGCTTCCGTCAAACTACGTTCAGTATGACGTCATGAGTTTCTCGCGAAAGCGTTTGTGTTGTGTTCATGAAATCATGGAAGTAGTTCGTCGCGAAAATTCGGTTTATGGTTCAAATCTTCCATTTTCTCGCGTTCACAAGTGGTGATGACGTCATCTACAAATTGGTTTGGTTTTATACAGTGGGTAAAGATCCGATTTGCAACGCGTAGGAGGGCCGGTTTCTCAATAGCGAGTCACCTCCGGCTTGGTTTCAAGTTTCAACCAATGACATCACAATCACAGTACATTTCACTATGGAGTGCTCACGGCCCTTGGCGGCAATTTATTAAGTCTGTTTCTGCAGAAATTACAACCAGTCAGAGTGAATTTCATTGGTTGAAACTAGTTTTCTGACTGTTTTTAACCAATGAAATTCGCCCTGATTGGTTTATGATTTCTGCAGAAACAAACCTAGTGACTCCAACGCAGTGCGAGAAAAGCCGCTTTCCAGCTGAGGAGTTTTCTCGCGTCTCAAATGTTTCAAAACTGGTTTAAGTAATATCGCCATGACGTCATAATTTCTCGGCGCGAGAAAATGGTTTGAAAACGTGGATTGGATTGTATTTCGAAACGGTTTGAGAACCAATTTTGACGTGACGTCATGGGTTTATCGCGAGAATGTACTGTTTCAAAACAGTTTTGAACCAGTTTCAAAAAAGTGGAAGCGAGAAAACGTCTATTGTGTTTGTGTTTCAAGCACGGTGCAGCGTGCAGCACAGTGTTCTGTGTTTGAAACGCAAAAGGTAGCAGCTCTCGAAGCGCAGTACGGCTGGAACACGTACGAACAGGTGCTTGAAGCATTTGCGCGCGCAAAAGCTCGATTGCGTGATCAAAATGGTCAGCTGGAAAGCGGCTAAGCCCGGCTAAGGATAAGCTAATGGTGGCACGTAGCACGACCAATGAAGGCACGACCAATGAACTATAGTCAAAAACTGGAATGCGCACACATTGCCATATCTGCCAAAAAAATGAAGCCATGAAAGACAGATGCCACAAGGGGGAATGTTGTTCTTTTCTGTTGCTCGCTGACATATGACGTTTTGGAAAGTTTTGTCATATTTTCTTTCACAGATTTCATCAATTGGAATACGTGTTGGAAGCAATTTCCGTCATTTAACGTAATGAGTGCGACAAGAACAGGTATCCCCTCCGCAGCAGCGGCACTAGGCTTCACGTTCGTCAATATGTGTACGCATTCCAGTTTTTGGTTATAGTTCATTGGGCACGACATAATGGAATTTGACGTACTTGGGTGCTTGTTGCTTGTGTCAATAAGCAAGTTGTAGGTCTGTTACTGCATAAATCACAAACCAGTCAGAGTGAATTTCATTGGTTGAAACTAAACTGCTGGACAAATGAAGCGGAACAAGCGAATTTTTTGGGTAACTTCAAATTCCAATATTACGCGAACTAACAAAGATATCAATGAGCGGTTTGCGAAAATAAACTTTTGAATTTCGCAATCACTCGATCATTGATATCCTCTTCAGTTCGCGTAATATTGGAATCCAAAGTTAAACTAAAAATTCGCTTGTTCCGTTTCATTTTTCCAGCAGTTTAGTTTGCTGGGGTGTTTCTGACTGTTTTCAACCAATGAAATTCGCTCTGACTGGTTTGTGATTTAATTCTACAGAAACAGACCTAACGTTTGTGTCAACGTTTCTTGCAGTAATAACACAAGGATGATACACACTTCATGCAATTATACAAGCTCACACCATCCGGAATTCAGATTGTGATTCTTCCCTTTTAATCCAACAGCGCTTAAAAGATGTCGCAAACTACAAGAATACACGTCACGGAATTTTTAAGATATGTGTGCGTGCGGCAATGTGCCGGAATTCAGATCCTAAATTCTGTTCCTCTGAATTCAGAAAGACATTCCGCCGGCTGTGTGAGGCCGGCCTAACAATTTTGCTTTTCGGAATTTCAACTTATTCCTACCTAGTCTGAATTTCATTTTCCCTATTCTAAAATTAAATTGATCGCCTTCCTTGGCCGGCCTCACACAGCCGGAATGTGTTTCTGAATTCAGAGTCTGAATTCATAAGGTGTACGGAATTGTATACAGGGTGGGGCACGGAAAACTTCCCACCCAGAGGTTTTCTAAGGTGTTCGGTGATTTATCAAAAATCGCTCGGACACGTCAATTGTTTTTTGGGGAATACATTTTATTAGTATTTTCACCTCCTTCTTTTCGACCCCTAAGCAGGGGTGACAGGTACCCCCAAAATTTCAAATGGAAGTGGGGTCGAGAGAAACGTCATTTGATAGCTATTTTTATAAAGAATATATCCTCGAAGTTTCAAGTTGCTACTGTTTACCCTGCCGTAATGGCGGCTCGTCAAAGTTAAGGAAAAATGCTTTTTTTCAGTATCTAAACTGTACGATTTTTATCTCATAACAAAACAACAGATTTTTCAAGGGTGCCTATCCATGGTTTCTAGGAATACAAATGGCCTCGAAACGCATTTCAACACCACAGTTGTATGAATTAGCAGGCCGCAAAGTCTAGACGCTTCATCAGCAGTTGTCCTGTCTGAACATGTCATACCAAGGCCGCTCCATCGAGTCCATCGTCGCAACGCTCTCATAGGAACAGCAACATCAACACGATTTTAAATATAAAAGACCCTGTGTTTTAGTTTAAAGCGTCATTATTAAGTTAGATATTTATTCAGTTTCGTCTACGCGCCCTGTATATAGTTGTAGGTTAAATTGGGTATTTAGGATGTCAAATCCTTATTTGAGAATGGAAATTGAATCGTTTTTTTTTCTCTTTATTTTTGTTTCCTTTTATTCTAATTGAATTGCGCGTGCTATATGCCATATGCCTAAGAATAGATACGGCTTTGCTAAATTTGGCTTTTAAAAATGCGCGCGTTAAACAATGAGAAAGGATATCTGCAAAGTCCTTACACTGCCGACGAGTAAAATCAGTCGCTAAAAACACTCCGCCCGTTTCGTGTGGTTCGAAAAAAGAGACCTGCGGTTCTTCGTTTGCTGCGACCGGTTAAATCAAGACGGTTTCGTTTGCACTCCTTCGCATTGGACTTGAACTTCCTGAAAGAGTTGGCCAACTGAGTGGAGTTTGGAAGTAAAGCCAGGTAAGGTGAAAAAATATCCTTTTCAGTTTCGATATCTTTCAATTTCAATTTAAAATCTTTCATCGATTACCATTCTATCAGCAACCTGTGAATTTTCCAGTTTTAATTTCGCACATATTAGTATGTCCATTTTCATTTTAAACTTGTATTTTTAAATAAAGTAGTGTTTTTTAAAAAGACAACTTTAAAAAACCGCCCTTTCGGCAGAGTAAATAGTAGCAAATTGAAACTTTGGGGATATAATCTTGATGTAAATAGTTATCACAGAATTAGGCAATTCAATCCATCTGTCAAAAAGAAAAATTCAATATGGCGTAGCGGTCAAGCAAGTCTGTTTTGAATATGTTTTTATGCGTATTTTAAATTATTTTGTTTAGAGTTTTGCTTGCAACTTTGATTTCGATTATTTAATAAAATATTTGTTGACTAGGTACCTGAACTATTAAATCGGGCAGAAATTCGATATTTTTTTGTGTTTTTTGGCCCATGTGTGGCCGCCACCCCATCTTGATTGTCACTTGGTTTGAATTGCCTAATAGTTATCAAATGACGTATTATTCGACCTCCCTTCACATTTGAAATTTTACGGGTACCTGTCACCCCCGCTTAAAGGCGGTTACACACGGACGTGGATGTCTGAAAGCATGTACGCCCATACATGAACGCGCAAACAAAAACATCAATGTGTATGCAAAATACCGTCGCGTTTTTGAATGTGGAAACGCTAGAAATTTTGTATGCACACACGGATTACTGTAGCAAGAATAGCAAGACTGAAGTTTTGTGCGAGCGTCTGTACAAAGGCGTCATGCACGTTTTTGTTTGCACGTTGATGTATGCATGTATATGTATTAAGCCATCCACGCCAGTGTGTAACCGCCTTAAAGGTTGACAGGTAGGGGGTGAAATTACCTCAGGAAAATTAGACTATCCAAGATGCTGTCAAAGTTAAATAAAAATGTCCGTCAAGAGGCACACAAACACTTTATTTTCTTGGCAAAGTCATGTGTTTTGGATAGGCGACTAAAGCCTAGTACTCATAACAGCGAAATTCGCTTTTTTTTGACATTGCTTCGACAATTTGACGTTTTATGCGTGAATCAAACGTCATTGTCGAAGCAATGTCAAAAAAGAGCGAATTTTGTGGTTATGAGTACTAGGCTTAATAAGGTGCTGTCAAAGTGCTGTCAAACCTAAATTAAAATGTCCGCCAAAAGGCACACAAACTCTTTGTTTACTTGTCAAAGTCACGTGTTTTGGATAGGCTAATACCAATAAAATGTGTCCCCAAAAAACGAAAATTGACGTGTCCGAGCGATTTTTGATTATTCACCTAACACCTGAGAAAACCAGAGTGGGAAGTTTTTCGTGCCCCACCCTGTATGTATATTTTTATTACATAGCATTCACTTTCTGATTTTTTCAGATTATGAATTTTTCATATCGATCTGTCAGAGTGACTCCTGATGAGCGTTATGAATTGCGGATCTGAAAAACTGAATTAAAATTTAAAAAATATAACACAGAATAACGCATCTATCCCTAACAGTAAAATTTCTTGTTAAATACCTATGATATTATATGCTGTTTTTAAGTTTATTCATGTCTAATATATTAGTTATTTACTTAACAAATGCGGAAAGTGATACTTTACCGCACGCAACGGCAGTTGACCGAACGACGCGAAGCGGAGTTCGGTCAAGCCGTTAAGGGCGGTAAAGGCACTTTCCGCATGTGTTAGGTACAAAATTTTACCTATGAGCATCTACATCTCCAAAAAAAAAGGCATTGATAAAATCAATTAATAAATCAGAATAATAAATGAAATTAGATTAGATTTAGAAATTATTCAAAATCCATTTTCTGAAAAAGAAAGGATTTTTGATTATAAATATCAAATTCTACTTTACCGCACCATATGCGGTAAAGTGCACTTTACCGCACACTTTGTAGTCCACTTTACCGCATACTATGCTGTAAAGTTAACTTTACCGCATAGTGTGCGGTAAAGTGCTACTTTCCATTTGCAAATACGTGCGGTAAAGTGCACTTTACCGCACGCTCGTAGGTAAAAATATTTTTATATTTTGTTCCATACAAGGTTGATTGTAAGTTATCTTCAATATTATTATATCTTTGCTAAATTTAATATTGTAGTCTTGAAAAAGGAAATGAAGAAGTACCTATATACATTAACTAATGATGGATGAGTTTCTATGTCATATGTATAGGTATATATTTTTAGTTCTATAAAATATACAGTATGTTTCAAAAGTCTGGGAACGGTCAAATATTTCCAGAGCGGCTTGAAATATAATTACGAATTTTTCTGCAGAGAAGTAATTATTGATTGATAATCATAATTTTAAGCCAATGTGGAAATTATTTGATCATTGTATATAAAAATAAATATTGTCATATAGAGAAATGGTAAATTTAAAACTTCAAATCTGTCCCTCGAGTATTTTCTTCTATCCATTTGTCGAACTTTTCTATCAGAGCTGGGGTCATGTGATTTTTGTGATCACCAACGATTCCTTTTCTAACAAAGTAGTTACCAGTGTCGGTATACACTCCTTCAGCTTTCAAAACGTCTGTCCCTACCTATTGGCGCAGAAATCTTTGTTTTAGCAAAAAGAAATTAGATATTGAGGACATTTGTGGTACCTAAACGTCTAATTCTGAAATAAAAAAAGCTAATTCAACTTACTTTCAAGTTGCAGGCAGCATTTTTTTGCATATTTGAAAAACTCAAATATTTGCTAATCGCCTCAACGTCATCATCCGTTAAAGTTTTTCCAATAAACCTGGCAATTTGCCTTATTGCATCTGAAGTATTTGCCTTCAAGTCTTCGTATCTCAATATAAGTATGTTTGATTCGTGACGTCTGTTCCAAAATGAGAAATAATGTTCAAAAATTGGACCAGCAATCAGCGCGTCGTTCATGAATAATTCGCAAAAGTGTTCAAAGTCTATTTTCATGTTGAATAAATTCTTGTGGAGGAAATAAAGTGAAACGCAAACATCTTTGGGGTCTCTCATAACATAAATAATCTAAAAAATATTATGCAAACTTAGTAAATCAATTTAAAAAGAAATTAATGTCAAACCTTTGGTTTTACACTCATCAGTTGCTCAGGCAAAAGTTCCAATGTTAAGTGTGATTTTATAGTTCTGGGTGAAGATAAGTTAGCAACAAAATTTAGAGTATCGGTACACAACTGGTTGATTTGATTTCGATAATTTTCATTCGGTAAAACTTCCAAAGAGGGAACTACCTTTTCATATCGTGGTATGTTTAAACCAGTTTTTGGACATTTTACGAAGTCAACGTGTCTAATCAAATAGTTCATAGTGCTAGAATAGAATAGTTAAGTTAAGTGATTTACTAAAACTTGTAGTCAGTATAGACACTGTAGAGCTAAACAAATTTAAAAGTTATAAGAGTAGTACAACTATTGCTTACTCAATAACTGGAGCTCTTATTTGTTGAACTTTGGTTTGTGCTGTCTCAAAATCCAAATTGTTCACAATTAACCAAATTATTTCCTGGCACCAGGTTGAACCTATAATTTTTTTCAAAGTTAGATTCCCTAAAGTATAATTTTTAACACTTACCTGTTCTTAAATAACTCACCAACCATACATCGTCGTTTCTAATTGAAGCATCTAGGATTTTTTTTGCCGAATCTTTATAAAACGGTGGTACTAAGTATTTGCCCAACTGAACTAAACTATCTTCCTCTGAAGAATCATTTTTCATGCCCTGTTGAATGGCTTTTTTATCAATCGCTTTTAAACAAAATAATTTCTTGGACATTTTTGCTTCAACCAAAAACTGATAATTTGTTATTTCTTCAACACCTTTTTATTCTTAATTTTATCAGTTAAAAATTTAAAATTTAAGCCTATTGTTTATACTTTTCTCCCAATTATACAGTCCAGCAGCATAATAAAAAAATTAACTTGATATATGGTATACATATTTTCATATTTATTCAATTTAAGTTATCTATGAACAATAAATATTATATATGTTTATATACATCAAATTTTTTATCCGTCGAGACTTTTAATGACCTTGCTACCTATGTAAAGGTGTGGTAAGTAATTACTCCTTGGAGATTGGTAACCTTGGGAGGAATTGCTATTACTCCTGCTGGGATTGAGGAAGCCCCACTGAAAGATTATTGATCCGAATGTATGGACCGACGAAAAGGAGTCAGTGATTAAACACGAATATATTAGGTTAATTAGTAAATGATTATTTTACAATAAAATATACAAATAATGAAGATAGTAAATCTAGAATTTCAAATCTGTTCCCCTAGTATTATCTTCTATCCACTTGTCAAACTTTTCTACCAGATCTGGAGCCATGTGATTTTTGTGATCACCAACGATTCCTTTTCTAACAAAGTGGTTACCAGTGTCGTTATAAACTCCTTCACATTGCAAAACGTCTATTCCTATCTAAATTACAAAAGCAAAGAAAATGATATCCTTATTTATGCATTCATACTTACTTGAAAGTTACACGCAGTATTTTTTTGCATATTTGAAAAACTCAAATATTTGCAAATCGCCTCAATATCATCATCCGATAAAGTTTTTCCAATAAATTTGGCAATTTGTCTTATTGTATTTGAAGTATTTGCCTTCATGTCTTCATATCTCAATATAAGTATGTTTGATTCGTGGCGTCTGTTCCAAAACGACAAATAATGTTTGAAAATTGAACCAGCAATCAAAGCGTCGTTCATAAATAACTTGCAAAAATGTTCAAAGTCTATTTCCATAGTCAAAAAAGTCTTGTAAAAATAATAAAGAGAAACGCAAACATCTTTGGGGTTTCTAATAACATAAATAATCTAAAAAAACTTGTATAAATAAGCTGGACAAGAAATTAATACATATATCAACCTTTGGTTTTACACTCATCAGTTGCTCAGGCAAAAGTTCAAATGTTAAGTGTGATTTGATGGTTCTTGGTGACGATAAGCTATCAACATAACCGAGAGAATCAGTGAACAATTGGATGAGTTTGTCTTGATCATCTTCATTTAGTTTTGATAGAACTTCTAAGGAAGGAACGAAGTTTGAATATCGTGATATGCTTAAACCAGTCTTCGGACATTTTACGAAGTCAACATGTTTAATCAGATAGTTTGTAGTGCTAGAATAACATAATAAAATTTGGTTGAAAATCAATTTAACATAGGATCATTCATTATATTCCAGAATTTATTGACTGAATAATGCTACTAAGAGGAATAACTTCCCGTTGAATTGAAGATAAAAATTGAAAATAGGTGATTCAGAATTCTTATTGATAACCAATTTATTAAAGGAAGTTTTTTGCTTTGATAATTTCATTTGGAGATGGAATTTTATTCAACAGTTGCGTAAAAAGGCCAATCATCCCACTTCTTTTTACAGTCTAATTTCTTTTTGCTATGTTTATATTTAACTGCCTTTGAACTGAGCATACTTAGATATTCTTAACCGATTATTGGTAATAAACATAATAAATGATTGCTTACTCAATAAGTGGAGCTCTAATTTGCTGTATTCTGGTTTCTGCAGTTTTGAAATCCAAATCGTTTACAATTAACCAAATTATTTCCTGGCACCAAGTTGAACCTATGTATTTTTTTTTTTGAAATTTAAATCCATATAATGTATATTTATTACCTACTTACCAGTTCTTAAATAACTTACCAACCATACATCGTCCTTTCTAACCGAAGCATCGAGAATTTGTTTTGCTGAATTTTCATAAAATGGTGGTGCTAAGTATTTTCCCAATTGAACTAAACTTTCTTCCGTTGAAGAATCATTTTCTATACCGTTCTTAATGGTATGTTTATCAAATGCTTTTAAACAAAACAAATCTTTGGACATTTTTGTTTCAACTGAAAACTGGTAATTTGTTATTTTTTTGAAGCCTTTTTATTCGTAAATTTTATCAGTCAATGTAGCATCATGTAGGATTTTAAGGTACCTATTTATTTATTTTATTGTGTATTATTTTCCAGACCCGGCACTAATAAAATAATTGAATTGGTATACTTACACTCACTTTTATATTCATTTGATAGGTCATATGGTTTTTATGCTATGCTATGAAAATTTTAATTTGTTAAGAAACTTGTCCTTATTGCCTGCTATTTTTGTATGTTTTCCCAGTATTTTCTCATCATCGTTTCGTCATAGATATATCAGCAGCCACTGAATGAATGCTGTGACAAAATTGAGATCTTAAGAAGAATAAATATTTTGGTAGCGTGAATAATTCTGTCACGTCTTAGTTCACATGGATACCATAATTATGCTGAAAATTAAATTTATTCTGAAAAGGATCCTAAATACCAAATTTTCCGAACCGGAGGCAATCCAAACAAAAACCTCACTTCTTCTCTTCTTCGGTTATGGTTAGTGCAAAGGGTTATAGATTCAAGATGACTTACCCTTTTATTGCCAAAGTTGCTAACTCCCCTCCTCAATTGCACAAACCGGCACGAAAGATCTTTTTCGGCCACTACCAGTGATTAGAGCAATTTATGACACCAAAAATGAAATCTCCTTTTTTTTAAAGGAATAAAATTAATTTATTTAAGAAAAGAATGAATAATAAAAAAAAATTAATGAAGACAATGTTTGATTTCCAATTAAAGGTTTAGACTAAAAAAATAGATTTTAAAAGAAATTGAACTGAAATAAACCATCACCTACTTTGGAGAGCTTTTCCACTAATCACTGAGTGGAAGATGAACTTAGGAGAAGAACGGATCGAGCGACGACTGTGACGAACACTAACTCGTTAAGTTTTTGTTTTATTCTAACAATTTCCGACGATAATTGCCGATAACTGCATCAACTCTCGCTTAAATAAGCGAGAGAGAACCAACCCCTATTTCTTGAGGCTACTGCTCTTAGCAGCTCATTGGCTAGCTGTTAGTACCTAGCCCTCTCAATATTCCCCAAGTAACAACAGCACGTGAAAATGACGTTAAATACTGGTCATCAAGTGACGAGAAATGACGAGCTAAATGACTTAATTATGACGTGAAAATGACTTCCTAATGTCTGGGACGAATGACGTCATAGTTGGTACGTCATTTTTACGTGTTATTTGACGTCAAGTTTATGAGTTATTTAACGTGATATTGGCGTAGTATTAATAACGTTCCATTCGCGTGATATCTATTTTATAAATGACGTCATATTTACCTGATATATTTTCTATAAATCCTTGTTTTTTCAAATTTATATGACCTGTAACGAAAATGAACCAACACTATATCACTTTTGAGAAAAATATATTTAAAAAAAGACAATATAAATATTCTGTAGGCGTATTAAACATATGACTTGTAGCACTTGCTAGGTGAGGTAACAACCAGACACTTACCTGTTGGTCCATAAGTTGGCCCTTAGGTGAACAAGCAATAATAATAATGTATATTATAATATAAAATAAGGTATATTAAAACAAAAGACATATACTTACGGTTGGTGATTGTTATTAGTCTCAACACAAACACGTGAATAAAACTCACATTCATATAGAGGCGTTTCACTTGGATGCAGCAGGATGATTCTGAAGAGAAATTAAAACCGAAAAATATATCAAGAATTAATAATTCCACGCGATACTTGCGTAAAAAAGAAATGAGGGAAACTTGGAGGGAAATGAGAAAGCAAAAAGCGAGGGAAAACCAAATAGTCGGGGAGCTGGCGTCGAAAATATGCAAGAGTTTTCGCAAGGCTCATATTTTCAGAATGAGTAGCATTTTAGTACTACAAAGCTAGGCTACAGTCAGCAGTTCCAGTTCCGGGACACCTGGCGCTGAGATGCGCGCAAAGGTGTATTTTTAATCAACACCTCGCAACAGTTTTCGCAAAGCTGAAAATTTGCAAAGAGCATGCGAATATAATGTAGAACCATAATTTAACAGTCAGACAAAGAAATACGGGGACACGTAGAGTCAGCGCGACTTTGAAGTGGTCAAAAAAATGACGTCACCGAAAGTGTTTTCGCATGGCTGAAATTTGGCAAGGCAATAGTAAAAACAATATATTTATTGAAAAAAACAGTCAGACACTTCTATGTCGGGACCCCGCCAGTCAGCAATCGATTAAAGTGATATAGGTGGTAGCGCGCGTCAATAGGCATATATCCATGTCGAATAATAATTTCACCAAAAGTGTTTTCGCATAGCTGAAATTTGGCAAGGTAATAGTAAAAACAATATATTTATTGAAAAAAACAGTCAGACACTTCTATGTCGGGACTCCCTCAGTCAGCAGTCGATTAAAATGATATAGGTGGTAGCGCGCGTCAATAGAATTTTACTATATATATATCCATTTCGATGAATAATTTTATTTTTATAATTTAAATTATTTGGAATCGGAAACGGTAAAATAAAATTGTACATGCAGTTAAAAAGTTTGCGGTTAGAAAAAAGCCCGATTCGTATAAATATTACTTGACCATTTAATCAGCAGTACTGTGATAGTATACCTATAGTAATTAAATAAATTCAGTTTTAATTATATTTATTGTAGTTTCATTAAATACTTATAATCGTCGCCGATTTTATAAAATACAAAAAAAAATTTCTAATCACATCTGCCGCTTCCCTTCCCCTAATCTCGACCTAACAGTACCATAATGAAGTTTCCGAATTCGAATGCATATACGCCTTATTCAAGTATACGCGCTTACGCTTGCAACTTGCAGGTTTACACTTACTCATTAAGAGAAAAAAAAATGTATTTTACCGTTTCCGATTCCAAATAATTTAAATTATAGAAATAAAATTATTCATCGAAATGGATATATATAGAGTAAAATTCTATTGACGCGCGCTACCACCTATATCACTTTAATCGACTGCTGACTGGCGGGGTCCCGACATAGAATTGTCTGACTGTTTTTTTCAATAAATATATTGTTTTTACTATTACCTTGCCAAATTTCAGCTATGCGAAAACACTTTTGGTGAAATTATTATTCGACATGGATATATGCCTATTGACGCGCGCTACCACCTATATCACTCTAATCGACTGCTGACTGGCGGGGTCCCGACATAAAATTGTCTGACTGTTTTTTTCAATAAATATATTGTTTTTATTATTACCTTGCCAAATTTCAGCTATGCGAAAACACTTTTGGTGAAATTATTATTCGACATGGATATATGCCTATTGACGCGCGCTACCACCTATATCACTTTAATCGACTGCTGACTGGCGGGGTCCCGACATAGAAGTGTCTGACTGTTTTTTTCAATAAATATATTGCTTTTACTATTACCTTGCCAAAATTCAGCCATGCGAAAACACTTTCGGTGACGTCATTTTTTTGACCACTTCAAAGTCGCGCTGACTCTACGTGTCCCCGTATTTCTTTGTCTGACTGTTAAATTATGGTTCTACATTATATTCGCATGCTCTTTGCAAATTTTCAGCTTTGCGAAAACTGTTGCGAGGTGTTGATTAAAAATACACCTTTGCGCGCATCTCAGCGCCAGGTGTCCCGGAACTGGAACTGCTGACTGTAGCCTAGCTTTGTAGCACTAAAATACTACTCATTCTGAAAATATGAGCCTTGCGAAAACTCTTGCATATTTTCGACGCCAGCTCCTGGACTAAAATGAAACACGACCACGCCATGCTACAACCACAACATAACCTCAACAAACTCCCTCACAACAATCAACGTCAACAGTCACACACACAGTAGCGAATTGGAAGGGTTAGTGCGCACTGAGTGTGTTCGTGTCTTTTCTACCGACTTCTATAAGAAAGAGATAAAAAAACATTTTTCTGCACTGGTTCTACCAATAGAATTCGCTGAATAGCATATTCGTTTCCCCACGCGGCGATGCAATATTTATTGTTGTCCCTTACTAATACTAAACTAATGCTAGAATTTCGAAACAAAAAAAATACAGGAGTGAGTGTATTTGTATTTACTCTTTTCCTTTTTCCCGTTGAGTTACTCGGAGCTGCTCAAAGTCAGAAGCTTGAACGTTTTTCGTTCGGTGTTTGTTCGGTGTCACTCGATGTATAAAAGGAATACAGTAATTTCCGCATTCACCAAACCGTTGACCAAACACAAAAACAAACCAAATACGTCCCCTTTCTGGCCTTTCCACAGTTTCTACCGTTTATTTCTATACTATTTGAAAGTCAGAGATGGAACTATGAGTATGAACTATGGGAGTTTTCCATTTAATTTTTATTCAAAGATGTGTTTTCAAACGCATCAAAGTTTTGCTGTAGTAAAAATTAAAAAACAGGATGTCGAAAAAATGCGAGGGTAGGGGTATTATTCGCATTCGATTCGATCAAAATTTTCGTGAGTAGTTACAAATGCGAAAAAAAATAATGATTTGTATCATCACTTTGTCTCCTATTCACTATAGAATACAGTATACACGGCACAACCCTAGGAATTCTAGGAATACATTCAAAACACATTGAAAAAAAAAACTAATTCAAAAAACCAGGTTTACTGAACCACAAGCAAAATACGTGAATATTACATGATATATATTGACGTCAATGTGTATTACATTTATCACCAGAAAAACGCGTCAATATTACGTGATAAAAAGCACGTCATTTGAACGGCATTTATCACACGTCAATATGTCGTCAGTTTTTGGTCAGGTGACGAGTATTGACGAATTATCACCATATAAGGACGTCAATATGACGTACCCTTGCTGGCTGGGTCCCTATTGCTCTTCTCTTATTGGTTCTCGTATCGTTTACCCTATTTACACCCTTAGTGACAATTACTTAGCCTAATCAACGGTGTGAAATGAATTAAATTATTCTATACTTGAATACTAAAAATGCCTTAAATAATTAGGTAGTTAACTATCTCCTTTCTTATCTTATTTATTAATAACATTTAATTCCTACAGTTTTCATTTCACCCTTGATTCTCCTATTACTATACAATTTTGTGTTATTGTATCTTGGAAAATCTGGTTCCCGTAATCATTGTTTTAGCCCACACACATGCTTCGAATATAGGTTCAGTATCAGTTCTCTGACATCTAGGTTCGCCATAAAACGTTGGGAATTATCGTTCTTGAATACTTTATTACAAACATATGTCGTGATTTGGTGCAGCTACAGATTAGAATCACATTTGGTGTTTATCCAGGAGAACACATAATTTTGTCTAATAAATTTGTCAATTTTGGCTTATATTTGACTTGAAACTATAAAATTTGATACATTTTTTGCTTTAAGTGCTTTCCCTTAATTCTCGACCAGATTAGTTATCGTTCCCAGAATCGCCATGTGTTTGTAAAACCCATTAAGATAACATTTTAACTATTTCTAAAAACCATCTCTGGTAACTCCCATGAAATACGTACTTGAACCGAGATTTAAAATTTACTATTAATTCTGTTACAATGCAAACATAAATTATAGGAAGAACTGTTTCAATAATCTTCACTCAAAAATTATAAAGCTAGACAGTCAATTT